ACAGATCGACAAAAATAGCAACATAAATAAAATAAAAAAAAAATTAAGTAACCCCGAAATGCCTGAACAGATCTTCATAAATTGTAGCTAAGAACCATCTCGATCACGTCGGATTTTAAACAAACAAAGAACACATCAGAATCAGTCATTTATTTAAGAGCTATGATGCTATAGACATGTCAAACTTATAACAGTCCTTTTTTGGTTAAAAATCTATTGCAAATAGATTTTATTGCAAAAATCAATCCCTCAGATCGTAACAGCTTTAATATGTTATCAACGTGGGCACGACACCATTAAGAAATGGTGGAAATATCGCGTAACATACAGACAAAAGATATGCAGGCGAATTGAGTAATTCCTACTTTTTGAAGTCGCTTAATAAAGTATCCAAGCATCCAAGCGACCTGACATCAGCTTTAACGGCTCAGAAAAGAATTAATATTAAAAAAAGACAGATTACAGATACTAAAATTTAGCTTATGTCACGGCTATATATTTTTATTATGAACATAAGAAATATTAAATATCTATAATATATGACATGGGTAACTCTTTCCCATTCGTATTTCAACCGTAAAGCAGTTGTGTTTGTATGGCTGTGTTTCGGTTTGAAGGGTGGAATATGGCGTGAATTTACTGGGTACGGAGAAATAACACCTGAGTCCTCAGGAATGGCAACGCATGGGGGTATCATGGACAAAACAGTATACTCTGTTATGTCCATGGTACTGCTCATGTCTATAGGCGACGATTATCACTTTCCATCAAGTGGGCCGTCAGCTTGTTTGCCATTCTAAGTTGTATAAAAAAATATATATATTAAGAAGTTTTCGCAAAAAATGAAAATAAAATTTAAAATTTTGTGTGTCAATACAATTTCATTACAAATTAAAAGAGTCATAAAACATAAAATTTGCATTGAAATGCAAATTAATTACCAGAAACTTTATATGACATTATTATTATATGCATATCAATTTTTTTTTTTTTTTTGCGAAACATAATGAAATATGGATCAAATGAAAGGTAAAAATGTCATCTCAACACGGTCAAGGTGCGACTCGAACCTCATAGCTTATGGAATGCGACAAACTGAACCTACGTATTATGGAGGTCATCATTCGCATACGATTTGAATTTGAAAACATAATCTAAATTATATGGTTTCGAAAGTGACCAAACATTACGCGTCGCGTTTACGCAAAGAGAATAGTGTATGTTCTATACACTACTTTCCCGCGTACACAGCTATAATTATTATCTCCGTACACAGTATGTGTAATATTTCTCGTGTAGAGTAATTCGGATGCGGTTTGTAATCTTCCATTTGAAGTCACAATAATAACACATATTTAGAATTAGCAGTGATATTGAAAATTTAAATAACCTCAGACAATGCATATTTTTTTTACAACACAGGTGGCAAACGAGCATGCGGCTCACCTGATGGTAAGTGAGTACCGCCGCCCGTGATAACCCACAACACCAACGGTATTGCAGGTGTGCTGCCGGCCTTTTAAAAAGGAATATACACTTATATATACGAAGTTATTCATGATGAGTATACAGTGTCTATACGGAGAAAAATGTGATTGTTAGTAACAAACTGACCCATTGCCAGCAACACACTCCTATCAGATCGACCTCCACGCGGTTCCCCCTGGAAACCATGGTGACTAATTTATCGTTGAATTCGTTACGATAAGCTAACTGACCTGCCTTTTCATCCTCATCAAATATCCCTCACCATCAGCCAGCGTATACCAATAGCACAGGTGGGGTTACCATTCCATTATCACCCATTAAAAAAACGGACCTATTGCCAACATTATACCCTATCAGGTCAACCTCTGGAAACCATCGTTGTTAATTTTAGTGCAATTCGTCACGATGGGCTAACTGACCTGCTTTCATCGTCACCTATCATCCCTCACTGGTGCCCCGCTAGTGTATACCGTCAGCGCAGCAAGGGTTACCATTCCATCATCACTCATTATAAAACCCGTGCCGAAACAGATAAGAATGGAGTTCTGAATCGGTGACAAGTTGTTGGGAGAAAAGGAGTATCATTGGATCTTATGTGATGTTATACTAGTTAACATCACAAAAATTCAATAATTTTTTTTTATACAACTGAGCAAATAAACACCAATATAGTTGAGCACTTTTATGGAAAGGTGGCGATCTAGATTAATTTTTTTATGGTACACAATTTTAGGTTATAATAAATATCTAATACCAGCGACTTCGTCCGCGTTTCCGTCGTTTTTCGTAAAATAAGTAGCCTATGTCCTTCCACACGGTTCAGTGGTTTTGATGTAACAGACACATTTCCCTTCACTGCTCTGCTCCTATTGATCGTAGCGTGATGAAAAGTATACTATAACCTGTCCAGGAGTATGAAGAATAATTGTACCAAGTTTCGTTAAAATACGTCGAGTAGTTTTTGTTTCTATAACGCACATACAGACGGACAGACAGATAGACAGACAAAAATTTTACTGATTGCATTTTTGGCATCAGTATCGATCACTAATCACCCCCTGATAGTTATTTTGGAAATATATTTCATGTACAGAATTGACCTCTCTACAGATTTATTATAAATATAGATAGATTTAATTATCTATTTAAAAAAAAATATACATAGGCTACCTCACTGTAGATATAGGTAAGTCAATGACCTAAGCAATTCCTATAAAAGTTCACCTCTATTATAATATTATACCAGTATTTTGTTTATTAATAAATATTAATTAACATTGCAGATGTAACTTTATGGGACGTTATTTGATAATATTGAATATTAATTCGAATGGAGACAAACATAGCCGCTAATAACTGGAAATGTAAACGAATACCAACCTACTTTTTTTAAAAGATTACACAATTCAAAATCTTGGTTTTTGTATTAATTTATTTTTGATTAACAAGGTCAGGGGTGAAAATGGCACTCTTAAATGAATTATTACAGGATTTAATTCATATAACTGCAAAAAAAATATACTAGAAGATGTCTATTTAATTTGGTTATGTATTTATTTATTTATTTACTCATTAGTACAAATATGTGTACATGTATAATTTATTTTGGTATTTAATTTAAAATTGGCCATTTTAATTTCGGATTTAGTTATTCCTCTAGTTAAATATCTATAGGTAGAGTATAAATATAAGATCTATCACAGAGAACAAATCATGTTTCTTTTGGTTACAGAATGAAAATTGTTTCGAAAATACTTTAACATTGGGAACAATAACTCAGTTGTAACTGATTCAGTTTGATAGCTCTTCTCTCACATATGGTGCTAATTGGCCTAGTATTGCGTTGTGTGAGATCAGAGGAAAGTTGTAAATAGTTGAGGTACAATATGTGGTGTATTTTTAAATTTAGAACTCATCTGTATGTATATATTTTTTAACTTAGCAGTGCTGTTATTTAGGCATTCTGTGCTCCCTATTTGATACAAGTGATGAGATACCTGTTACAATAAGTGAAATTTGGATTTAATTGTGAAATTTTGTATCAAAAATGCTATAGACTTATACTTTTTTCTATTATGTGTCTGCTCGCAACTTTGTATGTGTAAATTTTTTAAGTAGATAACACATATGACACATGTGTGTCATAAATAGCTCAAATAAAGTGTTTATCTATCTATCTATACCAGATTTTAAGTTACATTTTCAGGAACATATCTGTGAAAATCATATTCAATTTGGTACAGTGGCTTATGTATGATACCAAAATAAAAATACAGATAGACAAAAACTTCAAAAAATGATTGTTTTAATATTTTTATCTTGAATATCTCTTATGCACAGACATTGTCTAGTTTCAATTTTATTATAATAGTAAGATAAGATGTTAAGTCATACAGGTAAGCTACATGTGAAAAGTGAAATCCACATTTTATCACTTACTCAAATTATACCCGTATGGATTTCACCAATTTTCACATTACATTTAATTTAGCAAACATTATAAACATTAACCTCATGATATGTAACAATAATGAACCCACATGTTCACTTCACTCTCTACAACAACTTTAATTTGTTTTATAATAATATAATGTACCTGTTTTAATTTTTAATTTTTCATACATAAATAATTTATTGCAAATAAAACAAAAATAATCTTGAGACAAATAATTCCACTTGAATTATTTGTCTCAAGATTATTTTTTCCACAAAAAAAAAAAAAAAACTGACTTCAATTGTGACTTCAAATTCAATTATTTTGATTTAAAAAAATCAAGTCATGCTGACTAAAAAACTAAACTACCCAGATTTGGTAAAATACTTATATAACCAATATGAAAGTATATCCTTTTAGGTAACAAATAAGATCTATAAATTGGTTTATAGATGACAGAGTTATGAGCTAATAAACACTAAAAAAAATACCACTGAATTGAGGACCTCTTCCTTTTTTGAAGTTGGTGAAAATGATATCTTAGATTTGATTCTTAATCGGATTAAATTACAGAACAGTCAGTGAGTACCCTTATAGTCTTTATTGGTACTGCTACGCACAATTAATAAAATATGAGGACTACAAATTAGGATGAATTTTATTTTAATTGTTTATTTCTTCATCAGTACATGTGAGTCCTTGTACACCCATGAACTTTATCCTAAAAGCATTCTCTCCCAGCATGTTAGGGTAATTTTTTTTTTACATTTTCTTTATCTATTTCTATATAAATCTTGTATAAATTCGAAAAATATTTTATTCATTGTGCCCGCTATAAAAAAAAAAAACAGACCAAACTTGGCTAATTTAGTAAATAAACAATTTTGGTACTTATTTTTTAAACAAAATATATTTCATAAAATAAATAAATTACTGGAATAAAAATGTTACTGTGTTAAATAGTTATTTAAAAGGTATGTTTTGTATTTACTGCCTATATTTCGAAAAAAAATAGGTCTATAGTATTATAAGTTCTCGTTTATTGTAACACGTATTATTTAAAAGTTGTTATCCTTACCTAAATAATCAAGGTCTTGCAAACTTAATACTAGTGTTGTGATGTCAGGAAACACACAATTTTGAAAACTTGTTCACTCGTCGACACAAAAAAAAATAGAACACGTCCGTGACACGTAAACTTGTTGTAATATGTAAACATTCACAGGTAACAAAGAATGCTTTTTAAAGGGCGTTAAGTTCTTGTTCTTTATCTAATATTAATTCATTTTAAACTAGTTTCAAATACTCATCTTAAAAATATTTTGTCGTCAAACGTGTTGATGCGACGACGAAACAAACCAAACGTCAAGAACGAGAGTTAGCGAAACGAAAAGCACAAAACGAAACAGTGACATTTAATCAGGATTGCCAGATGCGATTTTTATTTTTACCCCAATGTCATTTATTTTTCTCCAAATTGACACGTCTTGGTTGTTTTAAATCGGCCACCACAAACTAAAATAAACAGAAATCTTTATTCTAAAGACCAATATAAACTAAATTTCTAACAGATTTATAAACGTTCTCATGAACGTTTTTGAAAATTAACAGATAATTGCGACGTTGACACACTTCATCGAGCTAAAGTTATGAATGCTAAGTTAAAATTATTATTAATTCATAATGGTCCCTAAAACAGTAATAATTTCTTTTTAATAGTATTAGAATGGCGTCTAAAATATTCGCGTAGTATCACGATAGCTAAAAATTATATTTGCTGTAATTTTTAACTTTTTTTTTATACAACTTGGCAAACAAGCTGACGGCCCACCTGATGGAAAGTGGTAACCATCGCCTATAGACATGAGCAGTACCATGGACATAACAGAGTACACTGTTTCGTCCATGATACCCCCCATGCGTTGCCATTCCCGAGGACTTAGGTGTTATTCCTCTGTACCCTGTAAATTCACGCCATATTCCACCCTTCAAACCGAAGCACAGACATGCAAATACAACTGCTTCACGGTTGATACACGAATGGGACAGAGGTACCCAAGCAATCGACTTTTGTACAAAGTCTCCCTCTGGTTGACTGTTGTTATTGTATTATCATAGTATATGTTATAACAATAAACATATAAAAGTTGTTGCAGTTAGCTAGTAACACACCAGCGGTGTTACCTTTACAGAACCTGAGTTCTCAGAAATGGTAACGCATAGGGTGTATCATGGGTCAAAAAGTATTATTTCTCTATTATGTTTATGATACTTACATCTCATGTCTACAGGCGACGGTTACCACTTTCCATCAGGTGGGCCATCAGCTTGTTTGCTATTCTAAGTTGCATATAAAAAAAAAGTTTGAAGAGTTAAAATTTTAAAAATTATTTCTGTATTTCGGCACGTGGTTGCAAATAGCGCTATTTAACACAAAGTACATTTAACCCACTAGAAATTAAGAAGAATTAACGTAATTCCTGAATAATATTAAAATTCCTAAGTAGCTACTTAAGGTAATTAACATGTTACATGTTATATATTCTTTATTGCACTTGTAAGTTACATATAAAATAATGTATTTATAAATATTGTGAGCAAGGGTGGACTTATCTCTGACAGAGATCTCTTCCAGTCAACCCAGTACAGTAAGAATATAAAAATAAAAATAAAATTCAAATTATTATAGAAGTAACAACTTTATTGTCCCTCACCTAAATACTAATAACTAATGCCTATTTATAAATATATTGGAGTCAATTTTGAAGCGCCATTCTATAAACCTATTTTTACAATTAAAAAAAATATTTGCATAGTTTTGGGGATAGAATAGTATCAGCGTGCATAAACTAAGTAAGTATAGATTGTCTATGATAACATGGTGCGCCCTTCCAAAATCCAAAGAATTAAAATACAATTGTACACGAGTAAAAGTAAACAAGGTTTCAACAAAGTAATATAACACTTGTCTAGCCGGATAGCTACTGAGGGAGAGAAGGTAGACTACTAGTCACATTACTAGCAATATGACCTCCACGTGGTCCCCCCTGGAAACCATCGTGTTGAATTCCAGATGCATTCAGCAGGATGGGCTAAGTGACCTGCTTTTTCATTCTCACTAGCGGCGGCCTTACTCATTGCGTGGCTACGGTAGGTCTATGCGAGCCCCTTTGTCCTTCGTGAAAAATATGTGATACGAAACTAGGTCTGGTTGTTTGATTTAGGTATTTGGTATGTTTGATGAGAAATGTTAAAGTTATACAAATAAATAAAATTTGAGTTTAAAATTATTGGAAATTTTTCGCTGAGTCAAGAAAACTATGTCTTATTTTACATATTTTTTACAATAGATTTTTTTTTATTTGTATATTTTAGTGTTGTTAATGTTATTCATTTGCGATTAAAATGCCTAAATCGGGAAGTTTTTGCAACTTGCCACTAGACAAAATGTTACTCACTGGTTGTTTAAAATTTGCTTGGGTTGTTACGCGAGACCCTTGCAAGAGCGAGGCCCCAGGCGATTGCCCTGTTCGCCACCCCTTAAAGCCGCCGCTGATTCTCACTATTCATCCCTCACTGGTACCCTGCCAGCGTATACCGTTAGCGCAGGCGGGGTTAATCGTAACCCACTATCATTTATTAAAAAAAAAGATAGCCACTGAAGATGGTTCCTCACAAACAAATAGAACACGTCTATATATGGTCACACAAGTTAAAGCAAAAAAATTGGAGGGGCGTGCCATGTTAACGTAGACTATATCTATCTACCTAATTTTGATTCAAAATAAATTTAGTTCATACTGGTTCTCGAAACAGATTTATCTATAACATTGAAATAAGTAGATTTAAAAAAATAGCATTCCATAATTAAAACCATTATCTTTGTAAAAAATTAGTAGGTACTCTGTATTTAAAAAAATAGATATAATAATAATAGTAGGTACTCTGTTACTAAGTACAAATAGTACTTTTGATATTATTTATTACTAATATTAAATAAGCATATGTAAATTCTATGCTTGATATTTACATGCTATTTCATGTGGCAAATCATAATGGACATCTTGTAAACTTGACAAATGCAACGACAACAATGTTTTTAGTGAATAATTTCATTTCATTTAATAATTAATTATATATTATTATTATTGTCTCTGTGGTCTCACCAAAAGGTAGTGGACAATGACTTATATTCTGTACACAATACATATGTACTGAGATTTTTATTAGGTAACTAACAGATGTAATAAAATATTTATTTATTCTTTGGTGGTCTGGCACCAAAAATAACTGATCCAACACGAACTGTAGTTGCGCCTAATTCAATCTGAAATAAAAATTTATTTATTGTTATTATGAATATTTATGAGGAAAACAATTTGGTACATTAATTAGTAGTACGCAAACATAGTGTGGTCCCGGTATAGAATGGGCCGCCCCTTCCTTTCCCGTGGGTGTTCTAAGAGGCGATTAAGAGGATTTAACTATTGAGGGATCGACAGCTGTGTCCCTCTTAAAATATCACTAAAGCCTAACTGCGGTTGCCAATCGCTTGCCAAGTCTGACAACACCCTCTAAGTCTGATATGATGTAGCAAGCATATTGGTCTATCTGATAAAAAGAAATAATCATCTATTGATTCATGTTGGTAAAGCAGTGAGATATAGCTAGTAAAAATACAGGTAAAATGGGAAGATTTTCTTATTTGAAACTGTTAAAAATTGTTCATAATTTAATGAAACAATGAAAGAAATCCATAACATTTACACTTTAACAAACATTTAAATAGTAGGTTAAGTATGAGTAAATATTTAATTATACTATCTCGACTTTGATGTGATAACAACATCAGTCCATCTATCCACTAAGAAAACTAGAAAAATATATATTACTTACAGCGTGTTCAAAATCTGATGACATGCCCATAGACAATTCCACTTTATTTATATCCAAATTAAGATTTTCACATAACTCCTGTCTACATTTGGAGAGGGTTAAGAAATCGGGATTAGGCCCTTTTGAAACATCATAATCATATTGACCAATTGTCATAAGACCTTGGAAATCCAAATTTGGACAATTTTTTAGTACATATTCTACTAATTTGGTTGTCTCCGATGGATGGATTCCATTTTTTGCTGAAAATTAAAAAAAATTAAGATTTTCAATTTCTTTTTAATATATAGTTATCTATCAGGTCTGTTATGTCACATGCACTGTGTTCTGTTTTCAAATTTGATTCAGTTTAATTCCATTTAAAAATAAAAAAATAAGTATATTTACAATTTCCTTAATTATATAAATTAAGAAAACTGGAAATATATTTACTTTCTTTATACTAGTGATTGTTAGCATTTGGAACTTTATAATGAACACTAAAGGTATATATTAGTTCTTTATGATTTTTGTAAAGGACTTCAATTATTATTTAAAAAAAAAAGAATATTTTCTATTCACTAATGTTCACTAATATTACAGATATCACATAAAATCTACCTTCTTCATTGCTTGTATTTATCTGGATCATAACTTTCAACTTCTCTTCCTCTTTTCTATATTTCAACCACTGTTTGTTTAAATTCTCTGCCAGTTTCTCAGAATCAACAGTTTGCACCATAAAAAGACCAGGTGATCCCAACAATTTATTAATTTTATTTGTCTGCAAATGTCCAATGAAGTGCCATTTGATGTCCTTGCATTTATCTAATATACTTGGATCGCTGGCTTTTTCTGCAAGTTCATTTACATAGTTTTCACCGAAATCTCTCTGTCCAGCCTCATAAGCTTGTATTATTAATGACGCAGGTTTTATTTTTGATACAGCAACTAGCCGTGGTATGACTTGAGGAAGATCCTAGAAACACATATATTTATAATTAATTATTTATTTTTAATAATTATACTTTTTTTACTAATCGGTCACATTTTTTTTTTATTTAAAATTGGAAATACCTATTTATTTATTAATAAAAAAAAAGGAAAAATAATTTCTCATTGATATGAAAAGACACCATAAATAAACAATTCAGAACGTATTTTGTTTATTTTATTAAAAATATTATTGTTCTATCAGTTGTTGTTGTTGTAACTGCCCACTGCTGAACATAGTTTCCCCCATAAGGGGGGTTTTTGATAGTAGTATATAACATTTTTATTATATACATTATTCTTATTATATATAAAATATTATTATTCTAATTAAAATAATTTTCTCTGACTTAACAATATTTATTTAAAAAAAAAAGATCTTTAAATATGTAACAGTGGTTAATGTATGTTTCCTTGTAGTGATTATAATCGGATGCCTAGAGATTTCTCATTTACAACAATAAGTACATTAATTGAACGTGATAACAACAATGTTGAAATAATATTATCAGTTTATTTAAACATTATATAGAAATGTCGTTATCTACTTACTTTATTTCTTCTCCCAACAGCTGCTTCAATTTTTGTCAAGACATTTTTTAAACCAAACATAATGTCGATTTCTGGATCACTTTCCGACGACATATTTTTAAAAAGAATTGATGTTTTCTTCTTGCAATAACTATAGGTACCTATTCTATTCTTATCCTTATCATACTCAATAAGTACTTATTGTAGGTATAAATAATAATATATGCTATTTTAAAATCAGCATCACTTTTATATGGCGTAATTGAAAAAAATTCTATGGTACCACTTACAAATATTAACAAAAGAATATAAATTCACATTTATGATATGTCTTTATCTAGAATATCAATACTAACAGTACAAATAATATAATACTATACTAGTATTGGTAAGTCTAAATCTCAAAAGACAACAATTTTATAGTTTAAAAAGTTTAAATTCAAAGAATTGGTTGCATAGTTTCATTAAAAAAGAAACTTCTCATAAGTCTGTACAACGCAATGATCGGAAACTAAAGTTTAGAAATATACATTTTGTATTATAAATTTTATTTTTTTTATAAACTAAGCCTTCTTTGTTCAATTGTATGTTTATAAACAGGAAAATTTATATTAGCAAACAAAAGAACTTTAATTAAAACTAATTTTGGCTAGAATGAACTTTAATGAAAAAGTATATATTTTAATGCATATTTATTTCTATTTAAATAGTTTTTGAAAGCAAATACTTCCGTCAGTGTAATTGATTGAATGAGGGATTTAGACTGACAGATTGACTGAATTTTTAATTATAAATAAATAGACATTTTCGTTTACCTTGTATTTTCCTATTTTTCCGATGATTTTTCTAATAAAATCGTGGCGATAATGCTAAAATTATTCAAATTAATCGACTGATCAAGAAAAAGCCATGAATTTGTTAGAGAAGGCAGAAAAAGCATTGGAATATTTGAAAGCGAACGATGGATCTACGAAGTAATTTTGTGAACGCTTTACATGACTTGATTATGGATTAATTTAAATATTTGTCTTTTGTGTTAATCATAATATGTGTATATCTTTTTAGAAGTCATGATTTGCAATCGGCGGCTGGTACATTAGGGCGATGTCTGGGAGCTTTAGGAAGCCGCCCGAATTTTGCAAAGCACTATGCAAATTTACTGCATACAGCCATCCCTACTTTGCTCTCTCTGGCCAGTAACAATAGTGTAAGTATTTATTTTTCATTGTAAACATCTTATGAGTTAGATTATTATTATTTCTTGACAAATTTATTAATTTATTGCAAAAAAAAAAACCTTATTTTTGTAACTTTATAATTATAAAATATTTATTGATCTTAATTACAAAATCTATAACGAAACAACAGGTACAAAATTATTTCTGTAAAGATTCTGTTAATATGAGTCTTATTAAATTGTGCCAGTTGTTAATATTATTTAAATTCAATTCCTGTTTTAAATAAAATGAGACAATTAGCTTGTATTTATTGTATACTATAATAGCTTTTACCGATGATCTTCTCTGTGTGACAGGAATATGTTTACTGGCTAGTATCAAAAGTAGTTTATACCCTATCTCCATCCCACATAGTATGTGTATACCAGATTTTGTGATAACTGGTGAAGATAGTAATGGGACAGAAGCAGATTATTCTTAAGATAAATTTGGTATGTGTTAAAACTAGGGGTGCAAGGTTAAAACATGTAAAACTTTTAAATAAAGAAAAATAACATAAAACACATTGAATCACTAGGTATCTATGCATATTACTTTTCTCTATTTAAAGGTTGCCTGGAAGGGAGGCCATCCATTGTTTTCTCAGTGTAATTTTTTTTCCAATTGTTTGTATTTATAATAAGTTTACTATTGTAATCTTTTGGAGGAAACGATAAAGAGTATCTAACTATCTATCTATCTATGCACCTACTTCCACAATATAAAAGGTTCTTTAATTCTATAGAGATTTAGAGTCTTTAGAATGCACACATCAACGGCAGTCAGCAATTGCAGTGATGAGCAGAGATTTTCTTGTTTAAATAGTGAAAAATTGTCTTTGCTCAACCATGACAGATGAGAGATCAAATTCCTTAGCAATACTTAACATTGAATCAAACATATGTATTTTTTCTTTATTGCACAATAAAACTTTGTAGAAGTGACGAGTGTAATGCCATAATGCCTTTTCTATCAGTTACCATTACGTAAAACAGAAAGCGTAAAAAGGGCAGTGGTGGTGAAAAAATATGTGACATAATTATTGTAACATACTAAACTAATTATATACAATACATAAGAAATACATATATAGTACATAAAAACTTTATATATATATATATATATATATATATACTTATATATATATATATATATATATATATATATATATATATATATATATATATATATATATATATATATATTAAAATAATGATAAGTATTATGAGATAATAACTACTGATTAATTTGTAGATAGAGTTAATCTTGTTGACTTAACAAATAATTGCAGTGTTCTTTTAAAAATAGGCCTACTGTGGCGGTCTATAGGGATTTTATTCCAATGGCTGATAGATTGTTACTATCTTTAAACTATAACGATTTTATTGACAATTTTGCAAAATAAAAATGTAGAAGAAGAAACTTGTAATTTTTTCCAACATTTGTCATTGAATGTGATTAGTATAAATTTTTAAATAAATAATTAATTATTAAAGTAACCATAGTTCTCCATCTTCCGCCGGTATCATCCTAAAGACTAAGTAATAGCCTAAAATCATTAAATAGGCACACTAATCAAAATTACCTACTACAAAAGGTTACTATTTTAAATACCTGCCATATTACGAGAAAATTCCTCACTTCCTCTAATATTACATCTTCCTTCTCTGAAACCTCTCCCACATTTTCGTTAAAGTCCGTGTGGGTGATTAAATCCCCTTCCATAAGAAGGAGAGAAAAACTTTTCTAACTTTATTTCTGAAAGTATTACATTTTTTTTTCGTGTTAACACTACAAAGTCTAATCTACATTTCCAGCTTGTCCTTCGACATAGGCCTTCTCAGTGTTTTTTTTTATACAACTTAGAATGGCAAACAAGCTGACGGCCCACCTGATGAAAAGTGGTAACCGTCGTCTATAGACATGAGCAGTATCATGGACATAACAGAGTATACTGTTTCGCCCATGATACCCCCATGCGTCGCCCTTCCTGAGGAATTTTCCTCCATTTTTCTCTATCTATCGTTAATCTGTACCACAACATTCCCGCAATTCTTTATATGTCATTCTCCTTTTTCTGGCTTCCCGTCTTTCTTGTCCCATATCTTGGATACCAGTCTATGATTCATTTTAGACAATTTTAAATATTTAATTTTTTTTCAGGCGGAAGTACGTCTGGTAGGCGATGAGGCACTCAATAGAGCTGTTGTGGGTGGTTTTGCATTCCATTCGCATAAAACAAACATTATTCTGCAAAATTACATAGACACTACTAGAAATGCAAGGTAAATCGATTTATGTTTACATTTTTTTTTTTATAAAATATACTATATATACTAATAATACAAAAACCTATGCTTTTTATACTTAAAAAAATTAATATCTTCTGTATCTAATTAAAACATAATGCAAGATGCAAAACATCAAAGCGGAAATATCGAATATTATAAATACATTAGCTGATCCGTACAACTTCGTCTGCAACGGAAGTTCACAAAAGAAATAAGTTTTTACCGTTTTTGCAAAAAAATTTTATTGATACTCTACTCCTATTGGTCGTAGCGTGATGTTATATAGCCTATAACCTCCTTCGATAAGTGTGCAACAATAATAATATTTTTCAATTAACATATTAAATTAATCCCTTCAATTCAACTCCTTTTTGTATGACTAATATTATATTTTATTATAAATTTTTGTTAATTTAATGTTAAAAGTTGTTAGTTAATCGAAGTTACTGTATGACAAATCTTTTTTTTTTATACAACTTAGAATGGCAAACAAGCTGACGGCCCATCTGATGGAAAAGTGGTAACCGTCGCCTATAGACATGAACAGTACCATGTACATAACAGAGTATATTGTTTCGCCCATGATACCCCCCATGCGTTGCCATTCCTGAGGACTCAGGTGTTATTCCTCTGTACCCAGTAAATTCACGCCATATCCCACCCTTCAAACCGAAACACAGCCATGCAAACACAACTGCTTCACGGTTGAAACACGAATGGCACAGAGGTACCCAAGCAATCTACTTTTGTACAAAGTCTTCCTCTATTTAAAAACGATTAATTATTTTTAGTTTTAATTATTTTTATAATATAATTTAACGTCTAAATCGGAATTAATGTTACGGGAACTACATACTTAGAAGCGACCAATACCGCGGGAAACGGCTGGTAAATAAATAAAACAAAGTTTTCAGCTTTATTATATATTTAATACATTCTTTTTAATTAAATGTTTTACCAGATGGATTCGATCAGCTTTAACCCGTATTTGTCTCGGCGACTCCTGGCTTCGTCCTGGCACTGGCAAGATACGATCACAAGCACAGACATTGATCCCGAAACTAAGCCAAATAGTGCAGCAGACAAGCGAAATTCAACTCATCGTGGAGGCATTAGAGAACAACTTATCTCGGATATTGACTGCATTGGCTGAGTACACAACTGATGAAGAGATGTCTGGTATGTTTTTTTTATTATAAAATATTGTGTATTTCTTTTTGTAATTCGTCAGAAAACGTTAACTGACTTGCTTTTATCCGTATCTGTCATATCTCACTAGTGCCCCGTCAGCATAATAATACCGATAGTGTAGGCCATAAATTAATCCATTAATCTACAATATTAATTCTAATACGAGAACGAAACAAGTTCCATTTTTAAATACGATACGATTTTAGATACGACAACTTTTATTCGAACGAGTTGAACTACAGATTCAAATTTAATTTTTTTATTACTTTATAAAACGAAATTGTTGCAAGGCGAATTATTTTATTTTCCAATTTTTTAAATTAAGAATTGCACATTACCCATATATGTTGGTTAACAATATCTCTTAACAATCTGCCTTATAACTAACTTTGCTTTCCAGATTTATCTAAGGCCCTGTTGTCCCACGTGGAATCAACGGAGCCTGCGGTGAGGCGCGGCGTGTCGTCGTGCGTAGCTTACCTCTGCTCGCATAGAGAACCTCTGCTTACCAACATTTTGGGGAGAGTATTTGGTAAGCTGTCAATTGGTTATCATTATTATATCCACTGTTAACTGTCCTGTATTGGACATAGGTTTACGCCATAAGGGGAGTTTTGCCAGTAATTGCCACGCTTGACAGGCGGGTTAACAACCGCTGTTAGGTTTTAGTGATGTTTTAAGAGGGACACTGCTGCCCATTCCTCGATCGTTTAGCCCCCTTAGCCGCCTCTTACGACACCCGTGGGAAAGGAAGGGGTGGCCCATTCTATGCCGGGACCATAAGGGATACTTAATGTCGTCATCGTTACATGAGCCCTTATTTGTCTACATAGGAAGGGATGGCCCTTTCTATGCCAGGAACACACTCTTATATGTATTTAGTAATAAAATAAATGTTTGTTTAACAGAGAAATTATGGCCGATGTCATCAGAGAGCACCACGATAATGGGCTGGTTTTGCGTTGTCAAAGCCATCTTCCAGATCAACGATATTTCGAAATTCAACGACAATGAGTTGTTCACAGTACAAGATTATTTAGAGGTTAGTTATTCAATATTTTTATTCTATATGGTGTACAGCACAATGGAGTATTTTAAACGATTCGCCCGCGCGGAAGTCCTACTCACGTTTTCATTACAACTAAAAAAACTAAACCTCTTTATGCTTAATTCTTGTTAGTTCAAAACATAATAAAATTTTTCAGGGTTTATAAAAATTATTGCTAGCATGGTTATACAGATAATCAGAATGTGGAGCATCTGATGTTCAAGTGCCCATTCCCATGGGAAAGTTAGAAATTTTAAAATGTATTTTGATAGTTGAATTGTATGCATTTCATTATTAGAATTTTTTCAAAATCGTTTTTGGGGAAAATAGCGACGTTATAGTGAATGAATTTTTATAGGACGGCTAGTGTTTTTGGAATTCTTGCTTACGCAAAAAAAAAAAAAACTCCCTGATTTTTGGGTAATTTCTGTGTAATACCCCAAACACTTATTTAACAAATGATTAATGTGAAATATTTATTTCAGTTATATCATCTGTGTATTCACTACATAGAACAATGTGCTGAACATAATATACAGAACTGTGTGATGGAGTGTCTCACAGTATTGCTGACTCACGCTACTGGAAACTTCAGGAGGGCATTACTGGATAAACACCCTCATATTATCTGTTTGGATGACAGGCAAAGCGATAAAGGTCATAAGAGGAATATCAGTAAGTCTTTTTTTATATGGGCAATTTTATTTCTGATATAACGATTTACCACCCATTTGCTTGCCATATCGGTTACATTTTGCTCTTTGGCTAATTACTGTATCAGTTGTAACCATGATATAAGATTGTACCACAAAAAAAAAAAAACCTCACTTGAAATGTGAAAATCAATTATTTTAATTTAAAAATTGAACTATTGAACAGATTTTCATAAAATTACTATACTATATATATATATATATATATATATATATATATATATATATATATATATATATATATATATATATATATATATATATTATAGTATACTATATATATATATATTATAGTATAATATATATATATATATATATAGTATACTGTTAGCGCGGGCGGGGTTGCCATTCTGTTGTCGTCCATAAAATAATCTTTCTAACATCTGTCATTATGCACGATTGCCGCGAAATTGGCTCTAATGCAGTTAAAAAATAACTCGAGTTCTTCTGTCAGGTTCAGTGAGCATCGTGTCAACACGTTACGTGCCCAGTCCATCGTCTGAGCCGCTGAATACTCTCGAGTTATCGTTCACTGGAGAATTGCAGCTCGGCAGTCTTTTGCAGCTCAACACGCCGAGTTTGAGCGTCGAAGACTTGAGCATACAGGTAATATGGTTTATTGACTATAAATTAATATACATCATTAAAGACAAGGTTCTTAGTGCTATTTTTTTCTTTAACTAAATACAAATTTCAAGGCAATACTTGCTATAATTTTTGGTCTTTTATAATAAGACTAGGTTTTACCCGCGGATTCGTCCACGTGACCGGCATATATTTCCTGGTCGGCATAAAAAGTAGCCTATATCCTCCTCCATCCCATAACTATGTACTGACCAAATTTCATTGTGATTGGTTAAATCATTAAGGCGCTAAAAAATAGGCCTTTATTCAGATATATACAAAGTAAATATCATTAGAATTACATTATTAATATATATTTTATTTATTATGCATATCATGGACTAGTCTATTTGCCACTATTGCCTATTTGGCATGGGCCTCATCCAAGCTCATATATATCTAAGGTAGACACTTTCATATAAAACTTCCTATATATTTCTATAAACTTCCTATATATATTTAGTTACCAGCTTTTACCCGAGACTTCGTCTATGTGACTGGTACTACGTGTACATAGTGACTTATGTCTTTCTCCACCTTTTATATCATGTGTATACTATAGTAATAAAGTAACAAACTCACTTTGATCTAATTAATTGTAGACCCCAGAATCGCCAGCAAGCGAGCCCGATGTCCAACTGCCAAACACAGAGGACCTGACCAAGGAAGTATCGGAGAAACTGCAGGAGTATGGGGAGTGTGATGATAAGGATTATGACCAGGTGGATCAGCCCCAGGATATTGGGTTCAAGGTATCATTTTTGGTTTTTTTTTTCATATTGTATAGTATTGAATTCCAGCAAAGGAATATTAAATGTTTATATAACTGAATGGATTAAACAAGCTTATTGTTATACCCATAGTCTATGGGTCATAATTATGTGGTATCTAAGCAAGCTATTTGATTTTGTGCAATTTATACAAATAATAATTAGTCGTAAGAGGCAATTAAGGTTATTTAATGGTCAATAGAAAGGCAGCAGCATCCCTGTTAAAATATATCAAAGCCTAACTGTGGCTACTTAGAGCGTAACTTCTGGCAAAACTCCCCAAAGGCCTATGTTCAGCAGTGGAAAGCTAACAGCTGATATGATGATCCCATTATGGGATAAGTCCGCCATTGTAAATTAAATCTTTTAATCTGTCCAATGTCAATTATGTTCAATAAAGTTTTTACATCACATTATAATGAAAAACATTTTTTAGGTATTACTTTTTGTTTGACTATTTTAACTTGGCTATTAGTTCCTAGTCAAATTTAATCTCCCTAGTTAAATATCTGTCGATAGAATATAAATATCTACTACAGAGAACAAATGATGTTTCTTTTTCAACAGAACGAAAATTGTTTTGAAAATATCTTAACATTGAGAACAATAACTCTATTGTAACTTTTTTTTTTTTATACAACTTAGAATGGCAAACAAGCTGACAGCCGACCTGATGGAAAGTGGTAACCGTCGCCTATAGACATGAGTAGTACCATGGACATAACAGAGTATACTGTTTCGCCCATGATACCCCCATGCGTTGCCATTCCTGAGGACTCAGGTGTTATTCCTCTGTACCCAGTAAATTCACGCCATATTCCACCCTTCAAACCGAAACACAGCCATGCAAACACAACTGCTTCACGGTTGAAATACGAATGGGACAGAGATATTCAAGCAAACGACTTTTGTACAAAGTCTCCCTCTGGTAATAACTGATTCAGTTCGATAGGCATTTATAGCCAATTGAAAGTACTTGAATGGAAATCGACAACATTTTATAATCAAGTATGAATTATTCTAACTCGTATACTGCCTCCCTGTGCAAGTCGCATACAAATCTATCAATAGTTGCTATTAAAAACGGTCGTTTCGTATCGAAAATTAATTTACAAAAACATCCCATAGATGGCGCTGCTATCAAATAAGAATACACGTCATGTTTTCATGAATCAAGTTAATTCCAACCATCACTATCATTAAGAATATATTTATGAAAATATTAATTTTCAGATAAACATTGGTTCCTCCACGGATGATGATGTCCCTCTAAGATATTGTTCGAGGCTCCTCGCTTCAAAGTATTTACTGACAGGCAACAAAGGAGAGCTCATACATGACAGGTATTAAAGATATTTTCTTATATTATCAAAATTACTGGTTTTGCCACAGTTGAAGTCTGTTTCTTTAATAGAATATGATCTTAAATTATTAATATCAGTGTAAGTATATCCTTTCAGATAAAAATAGTACATTACTGCAGCGGCCAGCAATTAAGGCATTGATGGACGAACGTGCAAATGTGGGCCGAGGCATAGCCGAGGCACACATACTTGAGTCCATTAATGCCTAGTTGTGGCCAAGGCTTGTATAGTACTTTTCTCAAACAATGCGCGGAAATCAAAAACATAATTTTACTATTTAAGTTCAATGACGAATAACGAACAATAATAATTTTTCACGCGCCATAATGTTCCATTGTTTTTATTTCAATAAACAGCTTTTTATTTGCAAGCCAGTTCGAAATTTAAATAAAACCTTTTATTAATTACCTCCTTGGTAGCCATGTTTCGAAGTAAGAGGTCATTCCATTTTTAAATTACAGGACAGATATGAGTTTATATAGTAAATTATCTGGCCGCAAAACACGACAGACATGGATTTTCATACAACTTTTGGCGGCCGCTGCCCGCTTGTATCTAGCCAGTACGGCAATTTTGATTTATCTCGAAGAAGATTGTCAAAATAATGCTCACATTTCCAAGCATGTTTGAGAAAAAATAATTTACCAAATCGTTTTAAAACTGACAGAGTTATGAAGTAACAAACATAAAATAAATATAACCGAATTGAGAATCACCTTCTATTCGAAGTCGGTTGATTACTTTGAAATGTTTTTAATTATACATTATTCATAAAAATTTGCATACCTACTGTTGAGGCAAATATTTTGTTTGTAGAGACGTACCATTTCTTTCACATATACGTTTCTGCTAATAGATTGAGGGATTGTTTGGGAAACAATATGTACTTGTTTTTTTTTATTATTGAATGAAAAGGGAATGGTAACCCCACCTGCGCTAACGTTATACGTTGGCGCAGTGAAGAGTGATCGATGAGGATGAAAACAGGCCAGTTAGCCCATCATAATGTATTCATCAGGAATTAATCATGATAGTTTCCAGGGGGAACCGCAAGAAGGTCGACCTGGTTGGGTATATTGCTAGCAATGGGATTCTCAGTCTCCATTACTAACAATCCCTTTCTCCCCTATGTACTTGTTTTAGGTCAGTGAGGGTATCTGTTAAAGCATCAGCTCTCAACTGTCTATCAGAGATCCTGCACCTGTACCCGCAGGCTATTACTATGTACCTGGACAAAGATGCAGACATGAAGAACCATAACATATCAGGTGAGCATTGTGTTTTTTTTTTTACAACACAGGGGGCAAACGAGCACGCGGCTTACTTGATGGTAAGTGGCTACCGCCCGTGATCACCCACAACACCAACGGCATTGCAGGTGTGCTGTCGGCCTTTTAAATAGGAATATGCTCTTTTCTTGAAGGTTATGTTGTCGTATCGGTTCGGAAATACTGCTGCTGGAAGTTGATTCCAAAGAATGGTTGTGCGTGGAAGTGCCTTGAAAAAAAAATTGCCTTTAGTTTGTGGCGGGTTATAATCGTTATTTATAATAAACCTTCCATAAACTAATATTTCATCCCAACCATCTGGACGTGTAGCGATCTTCCACCGTGCGTTTTTCAAGACACTTTCTTCCACCACCAGGTGGGATGTGGCAGTGAAATTACAGGGTATGGAGGCATAACATCTTCATCATATCAGCTTTTAACTGTCCACTGCTGAACGTAAGAATCTTCCTTGTGAGGGTTTGTCAGTATTTGCCACGCTTGGCAGACGGATTGACAAGTATTGTCAACAAACAATCAAATCTTTCCTCTTTATAATATTTTTATAGTTATTTATTTATTTAAACTTTATATGCACAGTAAAATTGTATGTACATTTGGTGGTCTTAACATAGGTTAGTGTTCCTTACCAGTCAATTATTGGGCAAATCGAGAAATAAGTTGGTGTTGCATTATTGAATAGAGGAAAAGTAAAGATATGATATTATTTAAAATACTTGTATTTTGTTCCACTGTATTTATAGCAAAAGTTTTTTTTTGTATTTGTACATGCGACACTGATGCATTTTTTAATACATCTAAGGATGACGTTTCGAAAAGCATTATGTAATATATTTTACGAGGTTTGTCCGGAAAGTACGTATAAAAGTTTTTTAAAAATTTTATTTTACAATTATTCAGGTCAATCACTTTTATCCCCTTCAAAGTACTCCCCTGTGACATAATGCACTTGTGCCAACGCCGTTTCCACTGTGAGAAGGCTCCTTGAAAGTCCTCTGGTTGTAGGTTTCTCAGCTGCCCCGTCGTAGCTTTTTTTATCTCATTTATGTCCCCCAAATGCCGCCCCCGAAGTACCAATTTGGTTTTTGGGAACAAGAAGAAGTCACACGGGGCCAAATCCGGCGAATGGGGGTGTTCGGTCACCGTAATGGAATTTTTACTCAAAAACTCACGGACAACAAGAGAGGTGTGGGCAGGGGCATTGTCGTGGTGAAGAATCCAACGCCCCTCTCGCGCCAATTCTGGACGAACTCGTGCCACACGATATTTTTATCGACGTAGAATTTTCCATCAACTTCTTGGAGGGACGAATTCTTGATGGACAATCCCCCGAACATCGTAAAAAACAATCAACATTGTCTCGGCCCTCTCTGAATCTTTTTAGCCACTTGTGGACGGTTGGTTCCTTCACAGCATCATCCCCATAAACTGTTCTGAGATCGGAAAAATTTGGTGTTGCATTCTTGCCGAGTTTCGAGAGAAAGTAAAGATTACGATGCTCTTCAACGGAAGCGGGCTCCATGCCGACGGGGTTTCGTTAAGAGGTAACTTTTTTTTTTTCGTACCGCACGGCGGTCAGACCAGAACTGAAGCATTGTTAGGGACATAAGGAAGGGGTCATCTACCTGGATGACTCCTCTTTCTCGCATTCCAGAACACTTTTATATACTTTCCGGACAGACCTTATTTATTTATTTATTCATTAGTACATATATGTGTACATGGCGGACTTAATGCTAAAAGCATTCTCTCCCAGTCAACCATAGGGAAGTGTCAGAATACACGAATGCGGTACTACTAATTATTAATATACATACATACTAATATTACATATATAAACGAATAAATATATATGAATAACAAATATACTTACACATATATGATATATACTATATTATACACGAATTTGGGAATAATATAAAGCACTTACTGTACAATTACAATATATCAATCATATATAGATAAATAATAAAAATAAATACAATAATGAAACATCATTCAATTTCAGGGTCATCAGAAGGCACTGATATGCACCAAGAGCATATAAACGACTTCATTCTAGAACGAAATGTTTGCTACCAAGACTCTTCAAGTGACTCCATGAGCCAAGACTTCCTAAACAGAAGTATGGACAGCCAACAAACGTCAAATTCTCAGCAAATGTCGAAAAAGGAGAGTAAATCTCTAGAAAAGTCGATAGACAGCGAGCAGAAAAGTTCAACTAAGGATGTGCCAAGCGCAATTCTAGATAGCAAATACGCTAAGAGCGATATGGCAATGAGTATCGATAGTACCAACCCTAATATGACTAACAGCAATTTTACAACTAATTCCAATCTGACCGGTAGTACTTGGTACCCAATGTCCAGTAGTGGGGATGTTCTATCGTCCAGTATAGATTTGGACATGAAATTTGATCACTTCGGTGAATCGCCGACTAATTTAGACAACTTGGATGCTTTAAAAGAATTAGAGAAGAAAGAGGACAGGCCGAAAAGACCACTCAGACGTACGGTAGCTAAAAAAGAAGATGAAAAAGACTTAAAAGTGGAGGAAGTAGTGGAGGTGGTAGAGAGGGACTTTGTTTTCCAACACATGTCGGATATTTTCGTGTTATTGGAGGGCCACAATGACCCCCAAATTAGAGGGTTAGTCCGGGTGTGTATTGGGAAGTATTTGAGTGCGGCATTGGACCTATCGCACGGTGATTATCATAGGTGGAGGAACTTCGCGGTGTTGCCCAAGGATGTGAGCAGTAATATCAGTACAGAGAAGCTGGTTGGCATTGTTCTAAAGGTAATATCTTGTAACAAAATTTAATTTAGAATTGGCAAAGATAAAGATCAATTTACAGAATAGACTTGGCCCCTTCAAAAATAGTATGAATTTTCCTATATGTCTTTGCGCGGAGCTGTAAGCTCCGCTTGCATTATTAAGTGGGTACCAGACAATTCTGGGGTGGGCATGGGATGATTTTCAATCGATAGGATAGGGTTTATTCCTTTGTTTCGTATTGACTTAGGAATTTGCCGTATATAATAAAATTGTAACTAGACAATGTCTGTACATGGGAGATATTAAAGAAAAAAATAATATGAGGGGTAATAATGATATTACTACTCCAATGTTTGTTTTGGTTCGAAGTTTCTTTTTTTAAAAAGGAAAATATGCTTTATTTTAGACTTTTCCATTGTTTACACATATTTTAAATACACAATTGGGATTTAATGCGATGAAAAATCTGTTGTGACCACGACGTGGTGCAATCCACGTCGAAAAGTCTGCAATAAAGAAGCAGGTATATAGGTATTATTTACCTGTAAAGGTTTTTCATTACATTAAGTCCCGATTGTATATTTAAAATATACCAGTTATTTTAAAGAGCTATATTTCTTTCAGGGCCTATCAGACGATATTCACTCCACGGTCAACCACACGCTCTCAGCCTTAACCAACATAGCGTCAGCTTTGTGTACAAGCACGCACTGGTTCCTACTGGTGGACGCGCTGAACTCGCTGGTTGCCGTCGAGAATAACGGTTACTGGTTGTGCAGGGTTAACCTTTGTAAGTTCTATGAGAAACTGCCTTATCAGAGGTATGTAGTTGTTTTTTTTTATATGATACTTGGAATAACAAACATGCTTATGGCTTACCCTATAGAAAGTGGTAAACATAGTCTATAACTGTGGACAGTACCATTGAGATTACGGAATGCATTTTAAATACCCATGGAACCTCTCATATGCTGCCATTCTCGAGGACTATGGTCTTATGTCTTCGTGAAGGTCCCGGCATAAAATAAGCCACTCCTTTCTTTCCCGTGGGTGTCGCAAGAGGCGACTAAGGGAGTTTATGGTGGAGGGATAGACAGCAGTATCCCTCTTAAAACATCACCAAAAGCCAAACAGTTATTGCTATGCGTGGCAACTACTAGCAAACTTCACCCCCCCCCCCTGCCCATCCGGAGAAGGCTATGTTCAGCAGTGGACAGTTAACAGTTGATGCAATAACAATATGGTCTTATACTGGTGGAATGGAGATAAACAAGCAGACAACTTACAAAGTCTCCTTGTAGTAAAACTTATTTCCTCTAGGTCCTTTTATATAAATTATCGTCTAGAACATATACTTAAAAAAAAAAAAAACAAAAACTATAAGCCAGCCAAAAGCATAATTTGTTTGGGCTTAATTTAAAATAAACATTTTTCAATGTTGCTGGTAGGTAATTCGATTAAAATTTTCCACATTAGGTTTTTTTTTTTAATATTTGAATTAAGAACTATTTTTCTCATATAATCTGTCTATACATGCTGTGATACTCTACATTATATTTTTTTTAGATTATTCATACTGTACGCAGGATATCATATAAAAAGTAAGGTTATAATGGATACACTGATACGATTATTGGCAGACCAGGACCAAAAAGTGAGGAAAGCAGCGGCCGAAGCCATAGTTAAGTAAGTCACCGTGTTTTTGTTTTTTTTATGTTTTGCATCGTAGCAGTTACCATGTCCCATGACTCATATCAGCAATTTTATATTGTATTTAGTTTTTTTTTTTTTATATTTCTCACTATAACAAGTAATTTTAAAGTACTGTAAATTTTCGTCAAAGTCACATAACTTGGTGTAAGGTGTTATTTCTAGTTTATCTATTCTTATGCTTAAGAAAATAAAATTTATCTTTATTATTAGTATAATGTTGTAAAATAATGTGCTTTGCACGCTTAAATAGCTTTCCATTGTAATAAAAAAAAAACTTACAAATAAAAATGAATTTTAATATAGGACGCCATGACAGAGAGAAGAGTCGTATTATATTTACAATGTTGCCAACCTTAGGCACAAATATCATAAAATATACTACAATTGTCATATTGTTTTATACATTTCTTTTTTCTGCAGCATAATACCAAGAATTTACCCGCCAAAACGTTCCACACCTATCACAATGGTCGCGGACATGGCAAAGGAACACAGCCAAAAGTTTATATTCGACCAGAACAAACTCTCGTTGGATCTGGTCCGCAATATGTACTTCTATAGCGATTTACCGGATCAACTGCGGAGTGGGGATGTTATCAGCAACATGGATAGTCTCAGGATAGTTGTCGCTGATTTGCTGTCGAGAACTATGTCTTCTTCATGTAAATATTATACGGTAAGTATATTTTTTTTTTGTGGATGATAATGGAATGGTAACCCCACCTGCGCTATCGGTATACACCGGCGGGGCACCAGTGAAGGATGGTAGGTGAGGATGAAGCAGGTCAGTTAGCCCATCGTGAAGAATTCAACAAGAATTGTTCACGACGGTTTCCAGGGGGAACCACGTGGAGGTCGACCTAATAGGGCATATAGCTAGCAATAGGGCTGTCAAACTCCATTGCTAACAATCCCTTTCCCCCCAACAGTAAGAATATAATGTTAATTAACTGTGCAATTCTGGCATAGAATAGGCCACCCGTTCCTTTCCCGTGGTTGTAACAGGTAACTAAGGGGAGGTCAAGGGATGGGCAGCAGCGTCTCTCGATAAAACATTTCCAAAGCCCGACTGTGGTTGCTAACCCGCCTGCCAAGCGTTGTAACTACTAGCATACCCCCCAAGGGGGAGGCTTATGTTCACCATTGGACAGATAAAGGCTGATATCATGACGATGGTATACTGTTAATTGTCAATAGTTTATAATCCTATATGTTTGTCTAAAAACTTCCTTAATTCCGTTTTTTTTTTATTTTTTTATTTATTTAAGGAACACCAACAGCATATTGCATTATAACATATAGGTATAACAAACATTAAATACAATACAATATATAAACATAGTTTTATTATGTTTGTTACCTCATAACTTCGTCAATTGTAAACTGATTTGGATTTTTTTTATCTGAAAGTATGTACTTATAAATTGGTCCCATAGAAACTTTATCGAAATCGGTTCATTGGTTTAGTTTTGAAGTCAACCGGTTGTTTTTGTGGTTTATCTATAACATAATGTTAATATATCAATCTATGACAAAAACTATAATAATAGGTGGCAAACAAACCATAGACAATGAAGACTGCGCAGTAGATTTTTTGTATGTAAAACTGTTATTGCGCAGGTTACGTGGCTAAAAAATTGGGTCTATGTAATTTTTATAAAAAATTGAATGCAATAAAAAATGAATCATAATATCAATAATGTTGTAAAATATTGAATGTTTTTTGCACGTTTAAACAACTTTTCCTTGTAATTAAAAAAACGCTTAAAAATACAAATGCACTTAAATATTAGAACGCCATGACAGAGAGAAGTATTACATAAATAATGTTGCTAGTCTTAGGCACAAATATCATACAATATACTACAATATCCTCAACCATTACCCATTTTTAATCATCAGCAAGGCCTACTTGAAACTCTTCAAGCTATATGCAAAAAATGGTCTCCGTGGAAACATGTTGATGCGTACAGCGAGCAAGGCATTTTAAGCTATTGTTTGGACAGTCTCGACTATTGTAACGGAACGGTAGCGGCCAGGACTGTATTGCTGAACTTATGTGCTGCGGTGTACCCTGGTATGTATGTTATATAGGATGTGATGATTTTATACTAATTCGCGAGCAAAGCCGCATGTTACAATTAGTTTATCGCATTTTTTAATGGATGACGGTGGAGTGGTAATTCCGCCTGCGCCAACGGTAGGCGCTGGTTGGGTACCAGTGAATGATGATAGGTGAGGATGAAAAGGCAGGTCAGTTAGTCTATAGTTATTAATACACCTGGAATTCAATACGATGGAGGGGGGAACACGTGGAGGTCGACCTAATAGGGTATATTGCCAGCAATGGGACTGATAGTCCGCATCCCTCCCCCAGTTTATAGTATTACCACTTTGAGCCGGGCGCTGAATTTGCTGTCCTTTCCGATCAGCCGGCAGCCGGCGAGAGATATAATGTTGTATGCTATCGCCAAGAGATTACTTTAGTACTAATGAGATAAGGAATTCTTTGTCGCGCTATTTTGGACGTTTTGGACGAAAGACAGCTACAAATACATATTACTAAAAAAGTTGTTACGTATTGTAATATGTGTAAAGATAAACCGCAGTTTTGTTTAGAATGTTCCAATAAATTTCATTAAAATTATATTTGATTACATTTCATTGAGACTAATTTTATTTTTTAACTCTAATACTGTCGGTCCCACAAACCGACGCCAGCCAAACGAAAATTCTAGTGCCGGTCCCCAGGGACCGACGCTGGCCACACGGAAGGTTCGCTGCCGGTCCCCAGGGACCGGCGCCGGGCCCAACGTGTTAATGATACTATGAAAGGTAAACAAATAATTCATAATTTCAGTGGAAATTCATAATGTAATGAAAAACAAGACATTCAACCGTGATATATTCGAGCGGGACTCCTCAAATGTCAGACAGAGATGGCAACACTTGGAGAACGAGAAAGTCAGTAACCTCGCTGAGAAATTCTTACAAGTGACGTTAAAGATGTTGAATGTTCTAGTCCATTTGATAGAGGAAGTTAATCCTAATGTGCATTTGAATAAGGGTGGTATTGCCTTACCGGGGAGTCCAGTTAGGAGGAAGACTCAAGGTAAGTAATATGTTATTTAAAAGTTTTTTTTTTATTTCTTAGATAGATAGATAATTTATTTGCATTACTTACTTACAGCACACAAATTACAACATACATATACAAAAAAAAAGCGAGATAACATAAATGATAAAAAAAAAAAATACATAAAGCTAAATACAATTTTCGTTTGTGAGTGTGCCATAGCAATACAAAATGGCCACAGCTCAGTTTATTGCTTCGCCCTTGATGACTTATGATTAAGTTAAAGTCACGAGTTTCTCATTTGACTCTAATCTTTGAAGACTGTTTTTTTATACAACTCCCTACTCGAAACAAACAAGTTGATGGCCTGTCTGATGCAGTGATAAGTCGCTTATACCTATGAACATTTTAGAATACATTGTGATCCCCAGGGTACCCGCTGTATTACTATTTTTTTTAAATAAGATGCATCGGTACTCTGTAATTAAGTCTTTAATTGTTCACACTTGACAGGACCCTCGTTATTTCCACTATACGAGGTCTGTTTTTAAAAAATGCGAGAAAAGAGTGCCATAAGCGCAGGGCTTCAGTTCTGGTCTGTGTGAACTGGCTTGTCACGCCATCTGTGAAGTTACCTCTTAACGAAACCCCGTCGGCTTGGAGCCCGCTTCCGTTGAAGAGCAGCGCGTCGTAATCAAGTTTCTCTCGAAACTCGGCAAGAATGGCCGTGAAATTTTTGCCGATCTCAGAACAGTTTATGGGGATGATGCTGTGAAGGAACCAACCGTCCACAAGTGGCTAAAAAGATTCAGAGAGGGCCGAGAAAGCGTTCAAGATGACCCACGTTCCGGACGTCCTTCCACTTCACATTCCGACGAAAACGTGGAAAGAATTCGAACTTGTGTTAATGGGGACCGTCGTTTAACGGTCAGACAGGTGGCTGAAGAGCTTAATTTGGGCAAAACCGTGGTCCACGAAATTCTAAGAAACGAACTTCAAATGAAAAAAATTTGCGCCAAGATCGTTCCGTGAGTTTTTGAGTAAAAATTCCATTACGGTGACCGAACACCCCCCCTATTCGCCGGATTTGGCCCCGTGTGACTTCTTCTTGTTCCCAAAAACCAAATTGGTACTTCGGGGGCGGCATTTGGGGGACATAAATGAGATAAAAAAAGCTACGACGGGGCAGCTGAGAAACCCACAACCAGAGGACTTTCAAGGAGCCTTCTCACAGTGGAAACGGCGTTGGCACAAGTGCATTATGTCACAGGGGGAGTACTTTGAAGGGGATAAAATTGATTTACCTGAATAATTGAAAAATAAAATTTTTAAAAAACTTTTATACGTACTTTCCGGACAAACCTCGTAAATATTAATAATAATGAAAAATATGTTTCCCACAAAAAAAATTCAATTGTGACAAAACCAGTTATTTTGATCCAAAAGTTGAACTACTAAACCGATTTTGATAAAATTTCTATTGAACCTATCTGTAAGTATGTACTTTCAGATAAAAAAATAACTTTTCAAATTAGTTTAGAATTGACGGAATTATGAGATAATAAAAAAAAAGTACAATTGTATAATTGAATCGCTTTTTTTGAAGTCGGCTAAAAAGGCTATCTATGCTTTTCCAGAATCGATACCCAGAAAGGCGAGTAACGCGGGAGAAGCAGTGGACGAGAAAGGCTCTCTAAGGAAGAAGGTTCCAGTGCCGGCTACTAGTTTAAAAGCCAATTTCGCTGGCCACTTCTATACTGAAATGTTTTATATGAGGTTTTATGAGACGCTGAGGGCTACATACTCTAATCATAAGGTACTGGTTAATCATAAGATTTACAACCGTGTTATATATGTATGTATATATATTATTTTTCAAAAAGGTTTGTTTTGTAATTTTTTTATACAACTTAGAATGGCAAACAAACAGACGGTCCACCTGATAAAAAGTGCTAACCTTCACCTATAGACATAAACAGTAGCATGGACATAACGGAGTATACTGTGTCGCCTATGACACTCTTTATGCGTTGCTATTCCTGAGGACAGGTGTTAAGCCTCTGTACTCTGTAATTTTACTGCCATATCCCACTTTTCAAACCGAAACAGCCATACAATTACAACTGCTTCACGGTAGAAACATGAATAGGACAGAGGTACCCAAGCAAACGACTTTTGTATAAATTCTCCCTCTGAGAATGAGTCAAATAAAAATGTATATGATTTGTGATATGTTAGATCACCTGAGATTTGCAAAATTTCATTAAAATTGGTTAAGCTGTTTCAGATATTGTTACTAATTGAGATGTGAGGGAAATATAAATTAATTATTTAATTTAATTTATTTTTTTTATATATTTTAGATATCTTGGATCCATTTTTGTTAGTGAGTGTACTTAAAAACTATGTTAATACTTAATCACTAATAATAATCTAGTCCTCTCGACGAGCATTTTCACGAGAGGACTATCTAATCTATTTACAAAATGTTCAGGATACTGTTGCTACTCCCGCGTATTCGACGTAAAGTGAAAATAAATTCTTCCACAGATAAATCTAGATCCAAAGAACAGTATGTTCCACGATTTCCTATCAACCGTGCTCGATTGCCTGGCTATCCAATTAGAACTGGCCACCGAAAAAGAATTTGGCCCCGTCACAGAAGAAATACTTTACTATCTCAAAGTAATAATGCCATTACGACCTGATACCACAGTGTACTGTGTTACACAATTGTTAAAATGTCTATTCGGTACAAATATGATAAGTCAATATCCAGATTTTATGAGTATATGCGACAAAATTGAGGCAAAGGACAAAACGAGCTTCTTCCACGACGTGATGTTGATAAATTCGTTAAATACCATAGACAAAAGCTCCAGAAGGAGTAGTGTGTGTTCGAATGCTAGTCAAAAATTGTCTCTGGACAGCAAGAATCCTAGGATGATGGAGGAACGGCAGATGTTGATAGCTATGGAGAATTTTTCTAAAAACAAAACTGATAGAAAGTGGAGTACCAATAAGAAGGAGTTGGAGAGATATATAAGGTTGTTTGAGCCTGTTGTCATACAGTCTTTAAAGGTAAAGTTTTATTATACATAGGAAAATGTTCTATATCTAATTTTATATACCTGGGGAAAGGGATCGTTAGTAATGGAGACTGAGAATCCCATTGCTAGCAATATACCCAACCAGGTCGACTCATTCGCCGTTTTTCCTGGAAACTATCATAGTTAATTCCTGGTGAATTCATCATGATGGGATAACTTGCCTGTTTTCATTCTCATCTATCACCTTTCACTGGTGCTCCGCCAGCGTATCCCATTAGCGCAGGCGGGGTTACCATTCCATTTTTACCCATAAAAAAGCTTTATATACCTACACCTTTTTAAAAGACTAGAAAAGCGCAGGCTACTTCTATGGCGTTGTTAGTGTATGTGGGCTGCGGTGAGAACTTACGATTAAGATCTAGGTTATTTAAAATTAAACTTTATTTACAGGGCTATACAATGCAAAACGACATACCGTTGCAGTGTAAAGTCCTATGCCTGCTCAACCAACTCCTCACCTTGAGAGTCAACTATTGTATGCTGGACAGTGACCAAGTATTCATCGGTTTTCTAATGAAGCAATTGGATTTAGTTGAACAACATGAGATACCGTGAGTGTTATGCTATTTTAGACGTTATAATAAAAGCAGTAAGGTGTAATTAAGTTGTATTGATGACTAGTCATCCACTTTAGCTAGATAGAAGTCCAACTCAGCCATATATATTATGTCAGGCTATATTATTTTTATAATGTAACCTATTTTGCTAAAAATATAGCTTTCTAAGATTGAGAGAATTCTTAATAATTAATTTGTAGAGAAGTTTTTGAGTTACAAACAAACAATCAAGCAAGTAGAAACGGCAGTGGGCTGGTAACATAGCTCGAAGCTCCACGTGGTTCCCCTGGAAACCATCGTGAACAATTCTTGTGGAATTCGTCACGATTGGCTAACTGACCTATTTCATCCTCACCTATCATCCTTCACTGGTGCCGCACCGGTGTATACCAATAGCACGGGCGGGGTTACCATTCCATTATCATCCATTAAAAAAAAAACATAGCTGGAAGAGTCGACAACGGATGAGGAAGAAAGGTTTTTAGGATTTTAAGATGTCGATGTTTGGATGAAAAACGTGCATGGTGTTAATATATCATGTATGGGTTTTTAATGACCGTTTAATAGACATATTCACCATCATCGTCATGTCCGCTTTTACCTGTGCACTGCTGAACTTAGACTTCCCCCTATTGGGGGTTTTTTTTCAAGTAGTTACCACGCTGGCATGCGGGTTGGCAACTGCAGTTAGGCTTTGGTAATATTTTAATATGGATGCTGCTGCACATCTCTCGCCCATTAAGTTCTCTTAGTCGCCTTTTACGATATTCACGGGAAAGGAGGGGGTGATTCATTCTATGCTGGGACCACATGATGAAGATTGTATATTTTTTTTTTATAATCTTTATTGCACTTGAACAAAAGATACAGCGATTAGTTTAACAGCTTTTTTTTATGCAACTTAGAATGGCAAACAAGCTGACGGCCCACCTGATGGAAAGCTGTTTATAGACAAATCCGTCATCTATAGACATAAGCAGTACCATGGATATAACAGAGTATACTGTTACGCCTATGATACTCAACAATAACAACAAGTAACAACTTGTTAGCAACGGTGGGCTTATCTCTAAAAGAGATCTTTATACGATATTGTTTAGTAAATAATTTTAACTTTAATTTTCAGGAACTGTTGCGACCTAGTGTACAATATACTACTATTTTTAGTTCAGTTATCGTCATCGAAGCACCATACCAAGCAAATTATAGAGATACCTAAGGTAATCATAGTATTTCTTGTAATTATTTATATTTATAATAAGTTTACTATTGTAATCTTTTGGAGGAAACAATAAAGAGTATCTATCTATCTATCTACGTCATAGATGACCTTCGACTATTTTAATGTAATAACTTACGTGTAATTAGATCGTAATACGTTAGTTTTGGAATCAATTCTGGAACCCTTAATCGTGAGCGGCTATGACGAAGGTGGGAATTTCGTCTAAACTGTTAGCCAGAAATAAAAGATTCATGTCCACTTTTAAACTTTATTAAAAAGTGATCATTATTGTCACCTTCGTGTTTAATACATTATATCATGCGTATTTGTAAATATACTTGTTATGTATATTTTTTTATACAATTTAGAATGGCAAACAAGCTGACGTCCCACCTGATGGAAAGTGGTAACCGTCGTCTATAGACATGAGCAGTACCCTGGACATAACAGAGTATACTATTTCACCCATGATACTCCCCATGCGTTGCCATTCCTGAGGATTCGGGTGTTATGTCTGTGTACCCTGTAAATCCACTGCCATATCCCATCCTTCAAACTGAAACACAGCTGTGCAAACACAACTGCTTCACGGTAGAAACACAAATGGGACAGAGGTACCCAAGCAAACGACTTGTACAAAGTCCATGGTATATATACAATATGTATATATCTATATAAATATGAGTATGCATGTGTATCAATTAATACTAGTACAGTGAACGCTCTATATAAGCAAGCTCTCTATAAGCAACATTCTTTATATTTTATTCATTCTACTCAGCTTAGTTAGTAAAAGAAATAAGTAAAATATTTTTCAGACGGTATTTTTATACTCATTTTTTTCCCTATAAGCAACTTTTCCCAATAAGTTTTTTTTTTAAATTGTTTCAAATGAGTTGCTTATATAGGAGCGTTTACTGTCCCGCATTCGAGTTTTCCATCGCTTCTGTTTGCAACATTTTGCATGTTGCTGGTAAAAAAAAAAAATTAAAAATGTCACCACAAAATTGTACAACTTTATAATCGCGCTATTTTGAAAAAAAAAAGCCTGTGTCTCTCATGTATTTGTAGGGAAACACTCGAAAGGTTATTTATCTAAGTTATATTAATTTTTATTACCATATTTGTGTAAACTACAGCTAATCCAATTGTGCGACGGTCTCATGGCTTCCGGGGCTCACTTGGAGTGCATCGCTGGCTTGGAGCCGGTCGCTGTGAAGGTCTTCAGCAGTATGGGAAGTAAGTTATGGAATATAATGTTGCAGTTTTTATTTGTCGTGTGGTCCCGGCATAGAATGGGCCATCCTTTCCTTTCTCGTAGATGTGAATTGGTGGAGACAAAGAAAAAATAATGGCTAATCACAAAAAGGAAGGGGGGAAGGGATTGTTAGTAATGGAGACTAAGTGTCCTATTGCTAACAATATACCCAACCAAGTCAACCTCCCCGTGGTCCCCCTGGAAACCATCGTGCTAAATTCCAAGTGGGCACGATCACGATGGGCTAATTGATCTGCTTTATCATTCTCACCTATCATCCCTCACTGGTGCCCCGCCAGCGAATATCGTTAGCGTAAGCGGGGTTAATATTACATTATCATCCATTAAAAAAGCAAAGTGAAAAACAAAACAAAAAAATAGAAAAATGATAGGTATTACAGTTTCAACACGAGCACAACATTGATAATGGACAACATAACAAATCTAAATAATACCAAATATATCTAAAAGGATCATATCAAATTAATCAGGCTTTTAAGGGTTAACATTGTATACGTTTATATATGTTTCGTCAACTTTTAATTTAATTTGTCGTTCAAATGCATCTTTTTTCGATCAGGTACAACCGTATTGGGCAGAGCACAGCAGCAAGAAGCCCAAGCGACGAGGGAAGTTTTATTTTATATGCTTCAGAAGACGATGCACCAACATAAGGTACGTATTTGATTTATTTCAGGCACTAAAAGTGTTAACACTTTCAAACACTAATAGGGTAACACTGTCAGAGTCGGCAACGCGCGTGGGATGTGTGGTATAGCGGGCAGGCTACAGTAACCGTTTACCACTAGACGGGTTAGTCTGTCTCGTTTGTTTGCTTGTTTGCCCGTACCAGGGTGGTAAACAAGCGTATATGCTTCTTTGCCACCTTTGTGGTATAAAAAACAAAACTGGGATACAGAAATAATTTAGTTAGATTGATTTATTTGCCAAAACATTATTTTTACAGATTTTTTTTGTCAACTATTTTATTTAAGTAATTTATAAGAAATATTGTAAACGCTCGAGTTACCATTCTTAAGTGACATTTCTTTATTTTTTTTTATTTGATTTTTATTTTTCTTAATTTATTTTTTTATTTCTTTTTTTTTTAATGCAACTTAGAATGGCAAACAAGCTGACGGCCCACCTGATGGAAAGTGGTAACCGTCACCTATAGGTATGAGTATATACCTATAGGTATGAGTATATAATACCATGGACATAGTAGAGTATACTTTAGAGACAACTTTAACAATGTACTTGTTAAACATTTAATTAACCACTTAAACATCTCGAAGGAGACCTTCTCGCGCATCGAAGGTGTTCCGATTTGCGCTATTCCGAGTACCTCTCGCCACTTAAAAATATTATGTTTATATTTTTATCTGGAGCGATACCTTTTCGCCCGTTTCTATTTCATAGAGCTTAGTGTATATTCACTGTATGCTCGTTCGAATTTAGTGCGTGCGCCAGTGCACCAGTTGACCTCATTTCACAGAAAAAACCCTTGCATTAAAGTGGTTAAAATAAATAATTGCATTCATTCATTACTATTTAAGAGCTGCACTCTTGCCGGTGGATCTCTAGCCATTCACTACGATTTTCATACACGAAATCAACTTTTTTCTTGATCTGCCTGATGTAAGTATGCCTTGGTCTCCCCTTCCCCTGCTTCCTTCTATCTTACCTTCTATTATAATGTTCATAAGCTCGTCGTGTCGTATCAAGTGTCCCAATATTTTCTCCCTACTGTTTATATATGCAATAGTTTCATAGTTTCTTTTTTTAAATAACTGCATTAGTTTTTTTTTTTATTTATTTAGATAAAAAAATAATAACAAAATAAAGAATAATAAAAAATATTATTTAAGGGAAATAATAGGTGAAGTTGTCTTCAACACCGGTTACCACAGTTTAGTAAGTTCTACCATGAAGCAGCTGTTTTTGCGTGGCTGTGTTTCAGTTTGAAGGGTGGGATATGCCTCGAATTTACTGGGTACAGAGGAATAACACCTGAGTCCTCAGGAATGGCAGCGCATGAGGGTATCATGGGCGAAACGGTGTACTCTGGTATGTCCATGGTACTGCTCATGTCTATAGGCGACGGTTACCACTTTCCATCAGGTGGGCCGTCAGATTGTTTGCCATTCTAAGTTGTATAAAAAAAAAATAGTAAAGTTAGTTGAAATATATTTGTCTATTTCCCTCCAAGGTACTGGACTTAGTGTCTTGCGTGCTGTCACTCTCGCAAGAGCACCCGGAAAGCTATTACCGCTGGTCGGAGTTAGCGACGGACACGCTACTCAATCTACTAACCCAGAGAACGATCGAAATAGATTCCACCGAGGCCATATCGTCACTGGAGAGGTTATTGGACTCCATATACAAGGATGTACTGCTGGAACCTACCAGGGTGGAAATACTGATGAAGATATTGTTCAAAGCGCCACCAGATCAGGTATTGTGTTGTTTAATTAATATTGTATTTGAATAAGGGCAGTAAGATGATGATGATGATGTGATGTAAATTTGTAATAACTAAAGTTACGAGCATACATACATACATACATATCTGCACGCCTGTCTCCAATTGGGGTAGACAGAAACAATGGAACGCCAATCGCTTCGATTGAATCAGACCTCTTTCGCTTTTTCCACATTCATCAATCTTTTCATACACGCTCGCCGGTTACGGGCACTTTTAATTTGGCCCTTTTTCAGCACGTCGCCTATGTGGTCGATATACTCTACCGACATCTCCATTTATTCTTGCTCGATAAATCGCTTTCGTAATTCTTATTTCATTCGTCCTCTCCAAATGGCCGAATTAACGCAACATTCCTTTTTTGATAAATGGAATGGAGAATATAGCTTACTTTTTATCTTGGTTAATGAACATATATCGGTCAAGTGTAAAAGTTAGTTTTGAATAAATCCAATAAGAAGATATACTAAGATTATGTATGCCTTACTATGTGCGTTCATATATATAATAAAATTCCAAATGAATTTAAATATTTGAATGTCACTTTATTTAGGAAAAGATTATATAACTGGCTAAAGGAACAGAATTTTTATGACATAAAAGATTTCCTTGGTAGACGTTTTTGACATTTGGTATTAACAAAAATTTTTGTATTTCTAACAATGATTGATAATAGGAAACTGAGTTTGCATGCTATATGACTTTAGCAGGACATGTGCACTCTTAAATATAATTATTACATCACTGTATACCATGTTTTAAGCAAATAAATATTTATTATTATTATTATCAATTTGTAATTCTAACATCTTTGTTTCACTTAGGGGGTAGAAGCATTGTTAGTAATCGAGACGTTAATCCCTATTGCTAGCAATATACCCTGTCGGGTCGACCTCCACGCGGTTCACCCTGGAAACCATCGTGATTAATTATCGTCAAATTGGTCGCGATGGACCAACTGACCTGACTTCATCCTCATCTGTCATCCCTCACTGGTGCCTTGACAGTGTATACCGATAGCGTAGGTGGGGTTACAATTTCATTATTATCCACTAGCGGCCTGTCCCGGCGCCACACGGGTGGACATTTTTACATTTTAAATAATGGCCATTAAGGCTGCACACGCGACGGAAGCTTAAAAATAGAGTAACTCCTCCCGTTTTCCCAACATTTTCCTTCACTGCTCTGCTCCTATTGACCGTAGCGCGATGAAAAGTATACCATAACATACCCAGGAGTATGCAGAATAATTGTACCAAGTTTCGTTAAAATCCGTCTAGTAGTTTTTGTTTATATAACGAACATACAGACAGACAGACAAAAATTTTACTGATTGCATTTTTGGCATCAGTATCGATCACTAATCACCGCCTGATAGTTGTTTTGGAAATATATTTCATGTACAGAATTGACCTCTATAGATTTATTATAAGTATAGATTATTTTTTTATTTCAGGCTACAACACCTGCGAAGTTTAAACTTAGATATCTCTCAATAATAATGGTTCTACTTAGAAAAGTATTAATCCTAATACCTGAAAGTGAGATTTTGCTTACAATAAACGATCTCAAAGCGAGCAGCCTCTCACCACAGTCGATCTTCTTCAACGTCAAACCCGACGTAGATCCGTTGAACGTGCAAAACGTCAACGAGAACTGCGCTAACCTGTCGCCAGATGTCGTCCTAGTCAGGTTGTTGTTTAAAACGTTGACGTACGTGATCATCGAAATGGACGGATGTTACGACACTAACTTTGACAGTTCGAATTTGGACCCTGAGAATATTGGTAGTAAGGTTCGAAATGACAAATTGTTGTATTCAGTGTGCGTTAATATTATAGTGCAAGTGAAACACATGCTACATTTGACTAGTAAGTACTTCTTAAAGTTTACTTTGTATTCTCTTAGTATAGTTTATATATTATGGTAGTCAATGAAAATATATATATATATATATATATATATATATATATATATATATATATATATATATATATATATATATATATATATATATATATATATATATATATATATATATATATATATATATATATATATATATATATATATATATATATAATTTTCCTATATTACTTAACATTGTTATTACTTGTAGTTAATGTTTGTATGTGTAGTAAATTCATTCCTTTATTGAAAATATTGCCAAGCGTGGCAACTATTGGCAAAATTCCCCTTATGGGGAAAGTTTATGTCCAGCAGTGGACAGTTAAAATGTTTAAATCGGTTAAACCATTTCTGAAAATAACGTGCATAAACGTACAGACAAACGGACAAAAATTCTAAAAATCATTGCTTTGGCTTCTATCGCGTTCGTAAAGCCCCTTCTATAATAGTTTTTCTTATATATCTTCCATGTACAGGCAGCGATCAGTTATGGTTTTATTATATGTATTAATTATTTTAATGCAAAATTTTAGAAATAAATTCCATATGAAATATTTGCACGCCACACGGTTGAGTGCAGAGGGTCTTTTCTTTAACGTTAAATATATCTAATGTATTAACCTGTATTCGAGGAAATAAAGTTATCATTAATTAACTAATTAATTAATTAATTCATTCATAATTATAAGAGGGAGACTTTGTACAAAAGTCGTTTGCTTGGGTACCTCTGCCCCATTCGTGTTTCAACCGTAAATCAGTTGTGTTTGCATGGCTGTGTTTCGGTCTGAAGGGTGGGATATGGCGTAAATTTACAGGGTACAAGGGAATAACACCTGAGTCCTCAGGAATGGCAACGCATGAGGGGTATCATGGGCGAAACAGTATACTCTGTTACGTCCATGATATTGCTCATGTCTATAGGCGACGGTTACCACTTTCCATCAGGTGGGACGTCAGCTTGTTTGCCATTCTAAGTTGTATAAAAAAAAATAATCCTCAGACGGCTGTCTCTTCCCGCTAACGGCGAAAACGGCGCAAACAATACTGCACAACGAACAGAGTGGGCTCAACACGGGCCTCTACAGCCCCGACGAGAACATCCCGCTGGACCTGCTCAACCTGATCTGCCTGCGCTCGGCGCACCGGGTACCACTGCTCACTGTCCACTGGTCGCATCTCTTGATCAGGTATTTGTTAAAAGTGTTTAGTATTTACTTTTTTTTTAGTGTTCCGTACCTACAAGGGGGAAAATGGAACCCTTATAGGATCACTTCGTTGTCCGTCTGTCAGGACCGTTTTTCTTAGCAACGCGTGGAGGTGTCAAGTTGAAATTAATATCATATATTCAGATCTGCAATCTCATAATATCAAAATAGATAGATTTACTATTAATGAAATAAGTAAATAAGTAATCGATGAAAAGAGATAACCGTTGTGAAAAACCGTAAAGCTGTGTTGTGTTTGCATAGCTGTGTTTCGGTTTGAAAGGTGGGATATGGCGTGAATTTACTGGGTACAGAGGAATAACACCTGAGTCCTCAGAAATGGCAACGCATGGGAGTATCATGGGCGAAACAGTATACTCTGTTATGTCCGTGGTACTGCTCATGTCTATAGGCGACGGTTACCACTTTCCATTTTCCATCAGGTGGGCCGTCAGCTTGTTTGCCATTCTAAGTTGAATAAAAAAAAATCTAAGTGTGAGATATTAACATTTCTTTATTTACTGTTTCAGATTGAATTTCCTAACTCACAAGTACTGGCAGAAACTGATCGGTTTTGCTCGCAACCTGCCGCTTAGAGCGGATAGTGCTGACAAGCAGTTGCTACGAGTCGATCTGCTACAGATTGCATGCGTTATGGCATACTGTGAATATTTTGTAAGTTACCGACATTTTTTATATTATAAATTCCATCTTCATCACCATGTCATCTGTTTCCCACAATCCCTTTTCCCCCACAAAAGTAGGGTAGTGTACGATAACAACCGCATTAGTTAGGGGGGAAGGGATTGTTAGTAATATGAACTACCAGGCCCATTACTAGCAATATACTCTATCAGGTCGACCTCCATGTGGTTTCCCCTGGCTAACATCGTGGCTAATTCTAGTTGAATTCGTCAGGATGGGCTAACTGACCTACTTTCATCCTCGTCAGTCATCTATTATCGGTGCCCCACCAATGTATACTGATAGCGAAGGTGGAGTTACCATACCATTATCACCCATTAAAAAAAACCTACTTTTGTAATTGTAACAAAATTTTTTGGTTCCAATAAAGATTATTATTTTTAAATTTTTACTCAAATTCTCATCTCCTCTCTTAAGGGGAGGAGATGGCAAGTAACCCCTGGTAGAAGCACAGTCGATCGGGTTCAGGGTCCGAGGGAGAGAAACAGGCGTACAATGCGGGCAGTATCTAAGAGCACCGCTTTCTGCATCTTTCCCGGGAGTGAGCCACCTCGGAATCCCAACCGTCTGAGATGTTGTTCCAGACTAGTTGGGATAAAACCGTTCACCGACATAACGATTGGAATAATTTCGGTGGATGTCACTCCCCACATTTCGTTCACCTCGTGAGCCAGGTCGATATATTTGCTCTTTTTCTCAGTTTCGGCTTTCACGAGGTTCTCGTCATGCGGTATGGCGACATCCACCAGGTTATTATTATTATTAAAATATGAGTCAGTGGAGATCTTAAAAATAAATCTGATTGACAGGTGGAAAATGGACTATCAGAAGTGGTGCATCTAACCTGGCTGCTAGTCAACCGGGGCCACATTCTCATCAGCCAATACAAGGAGAGCGTGGTGCAGAGCCTGATATCCAAGGTGCAACAGACCGACAGTGCTTCGGGGTTGTTCCTGCAGGCTATCGCCGCCAGATGCCAGAATTACTTGAAGGTATATTAGACATGGAGTTAGATTACAAAGCGACCAATACTTCTTTTTATTCCTAAGATAACTGTTTTGGGTGATCATGGCCTGCGGTAAGCCGCATGCCCGTTTGCCCCCTGTGATGTAAAAAAAAAATAAGTAACTACAGAAATAAAGCGTAGTAAACCGTGCAAATGTTATGAAATCAAATTTTTTAATACATCTTTACCTGTTATAGGGGGTAGGGATTAGTTCTTTTTTTTATAACACAGAGGTTAAACGAGCATGCGGCTCACCTGATGGCAAGTGACTACCGCCGCTCATAATCACCTACAGTACCAAAAGCATTGCAGGTGTGCTGCCGGCCTTTTAAATAGGAATATGCTCTTTTCTTGAAGGTTATGTTGTCGTATCGGTTCGGAAATACTGCTGCTGGAAGTTGATTCCAAAGAGTGGTTGTGCGTGGAAGAAAGTGCCTTGAAAAACGCACGGTGGAAGATCGCCTCTAGTCCAGATAGTTGGGATGAAACTTTAAGTTTATGGCGGGTTGGAGCATAGAAAGCAGTCTACTAATACCCTTAGTATTAGTGGACTTATTACTATCAATGTAATGTAATATCGATAGCAGTGGGTTCAGGTTTTACCAGAGGGAGATTTTGTACAAAAGTTGATTGCTTGGGTACCTCTGTCCCATTCGTGTTTCAACCGTAAATCAGTTGTGTTTGCATGGCTGTGTTTCGGTTTGAAGGGTGGGATATGGCGTGAATTTACAGGGTACAGAGGAATAACCACTGAGTCCTCAGGAATGGCAACGCATGAGGGTATCATGGGCGAAACAGTATGTGTGTGTACTGTTATGTCCATGATACTGCTTATGTCTATAGGCGATGGTTACCACTTTCCATCAGGTGGGTCGTCAGCTTGTTTGCCATTCTAAGTCGTATAAAAAAAAGGTCAGGTGACTTCTAAGCGGTTACCACTGGATATCAACGTGGTTTATTCTTAACTAGCGACCTGCCCCGGCTTCGTACGAATGCAAAACTGATACTAAATAGCGCCGCATTATTTGCCCCCCAACATGTATTTTAACCTATCTCATAGGATTCAGCCAGCGTTTGCAATGTAAGCGCAAAAAAATGTGTTTATTTACGACATCACATTAGAAACCTCTAAATTTATCAGTGTTTCTCTACAATATTATGCATGTATTATACATATAAACCTTCCTCTTGAATCATTCTATCTATTAAAAAAACCGTTTCAAAATCCGTTGCGTAGTTTTAAAGATTTAAGCATACATAGAGACGGACAGACAGCGACAGCGACTTTGTTTTATAATATGTAGTGATGAATTTGTCACGATGGACCAATTGAGTTGATTTTATCCACACCTATCATTGCACACTGGTGCCCCGTCATCGAATACTGATAGCACAGGAGTCTCTAAATCATTATTATACATAGGAAGCTACCATATCGATCCTTAATGTCTGTTTTATATATTAATAATTGGTGGAAACTTTATTGGTTTTTTTTTTATGGGTAAAAATGGTATGGTAACCCCGCCTGCGCTAACGGGATACGCTGGCGGAGCACCAGTGAAGGGTGATAGGTGAGAATGAAAACAGGCCAGTTAGCCCATCATGACGAATCCATCAGGAATTAACCATGATAGTTTCCAGGGAGAACCGCGAGGTCGACCTGGTTGGGTATATTGCTAGCAATAGGATTCTCAGTCTCCATTACTAACAATCGCTGTCCCCCCAAACTTTATTGGTTACTATATCAGCCGTTAATTGTCTACTGCTAAACATAGGTCTCCTTCTTGAGGAGACAGCAGTTGCCAAGCTTGGCGGGTGGATTGGCAACCGCAGTAGGTTTTTCTATGTTCTAGGAGAGACGCTGCTGCCCATCCCCCGACCATAAAATTCTCTTAGTCATCTCTAACTACATTTACGGGAAAGTATAGGATAGATTATACTATACCGGGATCACGCGGCAATTTTGTTAGTTAGTGGCTATTAAATAAAAAAATTGGAACATATTTATACTGTTTGTTTCACAAGTATATTATTTATTTTATTTATTTATTTAACTCTTTATTGCACCATAAATAAAAATATACAATGACAAGTGAATAATTCAAGTGAAATACAGTAATATAAATACAGATTGAAATATACACATAAAGGTACAAAAGGCGGTCTTATCGCTAGGGCAATCTCTTACAGACAACCTTTGCTTAAAGGAGAACAGATAGAAGTGGGCAGGTGGCGCAAGAGTGAATTAATAATTTTTCGTGCATAAAATACAAAAAACTGTAATGCACAAAAATATCAAATACATATAATTTGTTAAACTACTTTATATATATATATAAATACTAAAAAAATCAATTGTTTCAGGATGAATTTGCATTGAACACTTACAAAATACTATCATTGTGCCACGAAAGTGAATCGGGCGCTTTGATATTCTTTATTTGTCGAATAATTGGCAAACAGGAGCCCGCGATAGCTGTAAGGTAAATATGCATTTATTTATTTACTAGCGGCCCGTCCCGGCGTCGCATGGGTGGACATTTTTACATTTTAAAAGTGGCCATTAAGGCTGCACACGCGACGGAAGCTTAAACTTGGAGTAACTTCTCTCGTTTTCCCAACATTTTCCTTCACTGCTCTGCTCCTATTGATCGTAGCGTGATGAAAAGTATACCATAACATACCCAGGAGTATGCAGAATAATTGTACCAAGCTTCGTTAAAATCCGTCTAGTAGTTATTGTTTCTATAACGAACATACATACAAACAGACAAAAATTTTACTGATTACATTTTTGGCATCAGTAGTGGCCATTACACTTTTTAAAATGTAAAAATGTCCACCCGTGCGAAGCCGTGACGGGCCGCTAGTGTGTAAATAAATTTGTATTGTAGGCATCTTAAGTATGAATATTCTAATAAATTTGTTCATTTCATAATTAATAACACAGATTCGCAAAATTAGCTATCGAAAGGTGTGGGATGCTAAAAGAGTTGAGCGAGGACAAAATAAACGAGCAGCTGTCCAAAGAAGACGTCCAGATTGCGCTCGAGATGCTGCAGCGCGATCAGGCGCATGTGCGGTGAGTGTTCATAAAGATATTTCATGAAGGTAGCTTGAACCTTTTGTTAAACTTTATTTTATTTATTTATTTAGTCATTAGTACAAATACGTGTACATGGCGAACTTAATACTAAAAGCATTCTCTCCCAGTCAACCATAGGGAAGTGTCAGAATACACGAATGCGGTACTACTAATTATTGATATACATACATGCAAAAATTACCTATATAAACGAATAAATATATATGAATAACAAATATACTTACACATATATAGATAGATAGATGACCTTTATTACCATTATTAAGAAAATAAAAAATTAAAACAACAAAAAAAAAAATATTTTCAGGCGGCCCCTTAACTCCTTTACCTTTAGCATATAATTAGCATGAATCACGGTTGAAACACAAATGGGACAGAGGCACCCAAGCAAACGACTTTTGTACAAAGTTTCTCTCTGGTATGATCTTATATAAGAAACACCATCGCAAATTTTAAATACACATTAATGCGATATAAAAGTTTTTACAGATTGCATTACGTCTACCGTGAAGCAGTTGTGTTTGCATGGCTGTGTTTCGGTTTGAAGGGTGGGATATGGCGTGAATTTACAGGGTACAGAGTAATAACACCTGAGTCCTTAGGAATGCCAACGCATGGGGGGTATCATAGGCGAAACAGTATATTCTGGTATGTCCATGGTACTGCTCATGTCTATAGGCGACGGTTACCACTTTCCATCAGGTGGGCCGTCAGTTTATTTGCCTTTTATAAGTTGTATAAAAAAAAATGTTTTGCACGCTTGTTAATTATCTAGATTGTAAGTAATTCAATTTTCGTTAACTGTATGTGGTAGCTTTTAATTAGCTTATTGTTGTCATATATATTTAATTATTAAGTTATTACAGCTCTAAGCTTCCCTTAAAAATAATAAATAAATATTATTTTTTTATGCAGATATCCGTCGCTGGTGATGGAACTCAATTCCCTGGCGTCGACAGTATTCGCTCTCTCTCCCCTGGACTTATCACAAGATCGCGCTGTCAACCCGCAGTATATATCAACCACAAACGTTGATAGCAACTGGTTGCTGAACCAGGTGAAGAGCAGGTAATCGTTTATAGTGCATACTCATAGATATTTCTTTTTTTTTTTATAATGTAGGAAGGTTGACAATGAAGTATTAGTCTCGTTTGACGGTAAACGGTGACCACTGCATATAAATAATTGTATAATGCAAATAATTATATTATCTATTATTATTATTATTATAAAAAAGAGAGATTGGATTTTTGTATGTATGTTATAGATAAACTCAAAAACTGCCTAACAATATTTTTTTATTTATAGAAAGTTACATTATTAGCGAGTGACGTCTATAGGCTAAATATTATTTTAAAAAATTAAACATCCCTGTGAAAATTACAATAGAGTTACCCGAGGAAATATGAATTTGCCTATTAACGCTAATATAAAATACTAATTTATCTTTTTTCTATATACCTGTGCGAAGTCAGGACGCTAAAATTTAAAAAAAAATCAAACCCACTATACCACCCATAAATAATACATACATATACAATAAAACTTTGATTTAACAGGTGTTGTCAAAAAGATTCTACAGCACGAAAGGCGAATAATCAACACGATCTCGCTCTCCTTATGTCAAATCTGTCACAAGAGGAACTGACAGCTGTCACGTCATGTCCCGAGTTTGACAGGAAAATACTCGGCTCATGCTTTAAGATATCTTCTGATAGTTACATTAGAGAATTCTTAAATGTCGTCTCCATTTACGAGTCAAAAGAGATAGAGAAAGATCGGATAAAAGAGCATATGGAGATGAAGAGAATGAGAGAGGAGATGACGTCATCGGTCGACAGTAACAAACTCAACGTTGTCAACACATTGCACGTATTCAAAAGGAGTGATAGCAAAGAATCCAAATCGCAGTTTTTCATACCAATCACGGAAAGTGAGAATGTCAAAGAAAATTTTGGTAATCTCGAGTTGTCAGATGAAGAAACCGAGCTAGTGCTACCGGAGTTGTCAGAATTGTACCGGACGGCTGTGGCGACTTTTGACAAGTCTTTGACAGACGTCATTAGGTTGTTCCCGAAGCAAAATCGGCCGTTGAGCCAATCGGAGAATTTTAGTTTGAATATCGAACAGTCAATAGACCGGTACACGCGTAGATGTCACCAAGTCTTCCAAGATAAACTATTCTACCAGGAGTACACCACTCTTCATACAATTTTGACGGGATACCTTGACGCTTTGAATCGATTAATCGGAACAATCGATGAAACCGATTGCGATTTACTAGAGAAAATAATCGAGATTATTCTACCGAGTAGTTTATCGAAGAATATAGCAATATTTTCAGTGATGTCTTTGCAATATTTATCGTTTCTTATAAAAAATAAGGAGATTGTCGAGAGTCCGATACACACTGATGTGTCGTTTAGAACGACAGATGTCGTAACGGAAAATATAGTCATAGACAATGTAATATTGATAACTGTAGACAATGTTGCAAAAGCACTAAGCTTTCAAGAGATATGGAATGAATTGAATGCAAGCAATATGAATAAAGCTCAGTCGGCCATCAGTTGTTTGTATGCGGTTGTGAAGTATTTAGTTAAGGTAATGTATTTGCCGTATGGTCCTAGTATAAAATGCCCCTTCCTTTACCGTGAAAGTTATAAGAAGAAAGTTTGTGAGGATGATTTATGAATGGATCATTATTATTCTACAGCGCCATCTAGTGATGAGTTATAAAAAATGAATAGCTTAGGTGGTAGGATCAGTTTTCCTTTCTCACAATCTTTTCGTCTTGTCTTTGACTAGCCTTTGTAAGTGATTTTAGTGTTATAGTTATGTTAGTTTTGTATTATTTATATCAAATATCACTAGATTTAGAACACTAGATTTTACATTATAGTAATCTATATTTATATAACTAGCTATCAGGGACGTAGGTTGATCTTAACTTCATATATTAAAAAACCAGTGTGTTCATCGATTTGAACGTACTTTAATAAACGTACATTGTTTGCTTTAACTTAAGAGAATATAGTTTTTATATAGATAAAAAAATGTTTGCTATTTCATTTATACGTTTTCTCTCCAGGATACAAAGCCCTTGGTATTGAATCACTACATTCAACCTCAGGACTCTGGTCCCACCTCGGACATGATCATCATTGGTGATAAACTCATCAGCCTCATCAGTTACTGGGAGCAGAATTTTTACTCGAAACCCAACTGTGTCCTGGGAAACTGTTACGCAAAACACATCGAGAGTCTTCTCGTCAGTTTGTCTCGGTAAGTGTTTTGTATTACTTTTACAAGCTATTAGTTATTTTCTAAAGGGGAGATCTTTCTCGAATAGTCTGTATATTTTTTGGTTTGTATGTCTGGTAATTAAAATTTGTTATTATTTTTAAATTAAATGACCTTATAAATTAGTTTTTTTTTATTTTTTTTTGTATGTTATGGGATTATATTTCCAATTGTGAATTGAATTTTGACATCGTTTTTATGTGGATAGGGTTTTCTTTCGCGTCAAAAAACTGTTTACTGCTAGTTTTAAGATAAAATATACTTTATTCTTTTTTGAAAATTAATGAAGAATAAGAAGAAAATAGACGACGAGCTGAAGAAGGGTCAAATTAAAAGTACCCTTAATCAGTGAGCGTGTATGAAAAAAATATATGGACGAAGCGAGCGGAAGCAAATACCACAAATTAAATTTTTTATAGGTTATTCATTATTAAAGGTTATATATATATATATATATATATATATTTAATTGTAACTGGAAATAATCTCATATATGAAAAATATAATAATAATATTTTTTAGCCTCCATGTAGTCAGCAATATGGCTCTAATTCCGCCAATAGCCTGGTCGTCAGTAGATGTTACATCGAAAAAAGATCAGCCGCTGAAGATAGATTTGCCCCTACAAGCGTTGCAGGACATGGATGTATTGGAAGCATTCTTGTTCAGGTAACTTCATTATTTACTTTTTAATAGACTAATTTTTATTCGCGACTTTGACCACGTGACCGAAATATGTCGATTGATTAAAATAAATGGTATTTTATGTCCTTTTCCATGCCAAATTGCGTGTATATCAAATTTCATAGTGATTGACTATGCAGTTATCGTGCTAAGAGGCAAGGAATAAACAAACACATTTTATTATATATAGTATTGGTAAGAATATTCGGCAGAGAGTGCCTTGCCTGTGTATTGTTAATAAACAATATTATGCTACAGCGCCATCTAGTGATGAGTTATAAAAAGTGGATAGCTTAGGTGGTGTGATCAGTTTTCCTTTTTCACTATCCTTTCGTCTTATCCTTGGCTAGCCTCTGTAAGTAGACGTAATGTTATAAGTATATTAATTTTGTATAATTTATATCTAATAACACTATTGTGTTGTAGTTCTCGCATAGAATGGGCCACCCCTTCTTTTTCCGTGGGTGTCGTAATAGGCAACTAAGAGAATTTAATGCTCGTGCATCAGCGTTCCTATTAAAATATCACCAAAGCCTAATTGCGGTTGCCAATCCGTTTGCCAAGCGTGGCAGCTACTAGCAAACCTCCCCCAACCCCCTTATAGGGGTGGCCTATGTTCTGCAGTGGTCAGTTAACGATTGATATAAAAATCACTGACATTTTCAGAGTAAACCTAATCAGCTGGTCATCAAAGAAGCAATTCGAAGAGATCTGGGTGGCGCTCCTCGGAGCGTTACAGGGTAACGGTACCCACTGGGCCATAATGGGAATTACCGAGCTAATACTCAGTACTGTCCCCAGAGTGCGCACTAAGGGCATGTTACACGTGCCTCGATCGCGGTTACATGTGAGCAATGGGTACGTATATGTAATAATATTTTTTAAGTCTGGCAATATTTGTTTTTTTTTTTTATTATGTGATTGGATCGTTTGTAAATAAACAATATTATGCTACAGCGCCATCTAGTGATGAGTTATAAAAAGTGGATAGCTTAGGTGGTGGGATCAGTTTTCCTTTTTCACTATCCTTTCGTCATATCCTTGGCTAGCCTCTGTAAGATATCGATATAAAATATCCTTAGATTATAGACTAGTAGATAGAGCATCGAGCCTCAAAAAGGGTCAACTTTTTGTCAGCTTATTGTCAAATTAGCTGACTTGTTTTTTTTTTATCAGTGTTCTATATACTTACGCATAAAATGTATCTCGACGTATTATTTTATAAATAAAATGAGAATTTACGCATTAAAAAGGTGCAGAAATTATAAGACAAAATAATTATAGAAGTTATAAAGGAATCACTCATAACTATTTATCACGCAAAATTGTATGAAAAAGTTGACTCGCTTTTTTTAAAGCATTTTTATGAACATACTATATCTATATATCATCCATTCGCTTGAATTACCTGTCATTTTTTAAAATTATATTCGTGTTTTCAGTATTGTTATAGTTTTTTTTTTTTATTTAAATAGCAAACGAGTTGACAGCCCACTTGATGGATAGTGGTAACCGTCGCCTATAGGCATGTAGCAGACCCTTAAAAAGCGCCTATATATATCCTGGGTCATGTTTTTGTCTATAGCTGAAAGCTCCATACAATATTATGGGGTGAGCCTGGAATACCCGGCTCTTTCTCTCTTCTAAATGTGATTATAAATTTACCATAATTTTTGAACATTAATGAAAATTAATCAACTTACTGTGTTATGTTATCACATAATAATTATTATAGTGAATTATTTATATTGCATGTTTAGTTAATTATTCTAATATATTGTTTATGCATTATTTTTATATGTATGTATCTATATAATATAATTTTTGTCTGTTAATTTATTCATACAGGGTTACGCTCTGGGTTTGTTGTACGCATCCGTGTAGCCTAACTTCAGGCTGCAGCTGAAAATCAGTGCTTTGCTTTTAAGCAAAACTATCACTGAGCTGTAGCATATTTGGGTCATTGTGACACACATAGCGGAAACATATTTCTCGTATTTTATCTTTTGTTTTATATTTAAAAAAATGTAATTGATTTGATTGTGTGAATTTATTTGTTATAATTTACGTCACAAATATCTCAAATAAAGTTTTTATCTATTTATCGCATAAATCGTAGTGAGTGGCAATAGCTCCACCGATAAGAATATATATATATATATATATATATATATATATATATATATATATATATATATATATATATATAACATATAATATATAACCGAGATAAATATATCTATCTATCCTATATTAAGAGGTGCGCTCTTAAATGGAATAGATAGATATATTTATCTATCTATATATTAACATTAAATATTTCTCTTTTCATTTAAGAGTTCCCTCTTGTCGGTGCAACTAATTCATTCATTTCCTCCAGCTAGCTCTATCCCATGCCATATCTTTGACCTCCCTATTTGACATGACACCTGGTGTTTCCTATATCTGTCCCATGTAGTTATTCCTCAAACTTTCCCTTCCTCTTTTGTCCTCTATTTTGTTTTTCTACTTTGCTCTATAAAAAATCGTCATGTCGTATAAGGTGGCCCAGCATTTTGTCTCATTTTATTCTCTATTGTTATTTATTATTGTTCTTTTCTCATTCACTCTCTTCAGGACTTCGTCATTCGTTAGTTTTTCTGTCCAGCTTATCCTTTCCATTCTCCTCCATGTACACATTTCGAATGCCTCAAGCAACTTTCTTTCCTTTTGCGTTATTGTCCATGTTTCACGCCCATATAATGCTATGCCCCAAATATAAATATTTACAAATTGAATTTAGACGTCGAGTAAAAAAAGAAAAACAAAATTTTAAAACAATTTTATTTTGCAGTATGCAAACACTACGCAATCTCGTGGTCGGCACGTCCGCGTACAAGATATTCGAGTGCGTCAACTTGGAGCGCATACCGCTCATGAATGATGGCTACAACGGCTATCATTATGCACAGTTCAACGCTGAATATTTGAAATTGGCCTCTGGTATGTTCACATAGCGTCTATTTTTCTATAACGTATGTTGTTTTTTTTTTAATTTTTTTAATTCAAGTTAGACCTAATTACAAACTTTTGAATAGGCAGTTGATACAACAAAATGGAATTGGTCAGGATTTTATTATAATTTTAGTGTAATAAATCAATGATTTTATTTAATTTATTAAACCGTCTGATGGTAAACGGACTCAAAAGATATTTGTTTTGAAAAAGACTTGAATTATTAAATTACTGTTTTTTATTTTTTCTATTTAGATATTGGTAATTTTTTTTTTCTATTTATATATATTATTTATATATATATATATATATATATATATATATATATATATATATATATCAGTTGGAGTACTGAAAATTCAGTACTAATTTCAAACGTACTAATATTCGAGTATTAAAATACACTATCAGGACTTAATGCAATTAAATTTTTTTGTAAATAAATAGTACATACATACCTACTTCTTGATTGCCAACATTTCGAAGTGGATTGCATCTCATCGAAAAAAAAATATTCATCGCGTTAAGTTTTTTTTTTTTTACACAACTTATAATGGCAAACAAGCGGTCCACCTGATGGAAAGTGGTAACCGTCGCCTATAGACATGAGCAGTACCATGAACACAACAGAGTATACTTTTTCGCTCATAATACCCCTCATGCGTTACTATTCCTGAGGACTTAGGTGTTGTACTATGTTATGTACTATTATACTATACACCTATCCCCCGATTTACACGGTACTTGTTTTACACGTTTTCGCTTTTACACGGTTTTCCAAATAAGTTTTTTTTTTTGTTTTTATCGCACTCTACTAAATGCTACTGTGTTTGAACACGTGCTCAATATGAAGAAGTTCACAAAGATCTTACAAAAAAATCGAAGCAATTGTTAATAACCGATTTTATTACCACCTCTCAGAATGTAAATATTTCTGCTTCAAACATCGAATCGGCACAAATAACTTCGAGTGAAGAAAGTGAATTCCAACCTTCGATTCCGAAAAAAAGAATGAGAGTAATTTCTGATAGTGATGAAGGATAATAAAACACCTTTGGGTTTATTTTTTGTTCTTCTGTTTAATGTATTGTAATTAAATAAAAAAACAGTGTTTCCGTAATATATTACATATTTTAACCTGTCAATGCATTTTATTTTTATTTCTGTGTACACCTAAAAATATTGAAAAAAATCACAACTGTTAAATAGCAAAATTATGCATTTTCTGCAAGCTTTTTGATTTACACGGTTTTGACTTGAAAATTTTTAATTTTCGATTTACACGTTTTTCTCAGGAACGTATCTACCGTGTAAATCGGGGGATAGGTGTATATTATATTATACTATGTACTATTTACCAACAAAAATTTGTAATCGCGTTAAGTCCCGATAGTGTATTTAAATATGTGTAAAAAACGTAAAAGTTTAAAATTAACTATTAATATTCGAGGTAATAGAATAGACATAGAATGGGCTACCACTTCCTTTCCCGTAAGTGTCGTAAGTGACTAAGGGAGGGCGAGAGAAAGGCAGCAGCATCTCTCTTAAAACATCTCCAAATCCTAACCGTGGTTGCCAATCCAAGCGTGGCAACTACTGGCAAAACCCCCCAAGGGGGAGTTAAAGACTGATATGATTATGATGATTCGAGCTAATATAATTTATTCAATTAATTGACCAATTAAAAAACTTACGGGCGTGTATGACAAGATTGATGAATGTGGAAGAAGCGAAAGAGGTTTGTTTGAATCGAAGCATTTGGCGTTCCATTGTTTCTGCCTATCCTAATGGGAGACAGGCGTGACAGATATGTATATATGTATGTATGTTTAAAAACTATACTGAATTTTTTTTAAGATTAATTATATATTTGATGGTAATAAATTGCTTAATAGTACATCACTGCAGCGGCCAGCAACCGAGGCATTGATGGACGAACGTGCAAATATGGGCCGAGGCGTAGCCGAGGCACACATACGTGAGTCCATCAATGCCTAGTTGTGGCCAAGGCTTGTATAGTACTTTTCTCAAACAATGTGCGGAAATCAAAAACACAATTTTACTTTTTAAGTTCAATGACGAATAACGAACAATAATAATATTTCACGCGCCATAATGTTCCTTTGTTTTTTTTTTTTTCAATAAACAGCTTTCTATTCGCAAGCCAGTTCGAAATTTAAATAAAACCTTTTATTAGTTATCTCCTTGGTAGCCATGTTTCGAAGTAAAAGGTCATTCCATTTTTAAATTACAGGACAGATATAAGTTTACATAGTAATTTATCCGGCCGCAAAACACGACAGATATGGATTTTCATACAACTTTTACCGGCCGCTACCCGCATGTATCTGGCCAGTACGGCAATTTTGATTTATCTCGAAGAAGATAGTCAAAATAATGTTCACATTTCTAAGCATGTTTGAGAAAAGTGTTTTATTCGAACATTCTAGATTTAACCGACGAGGCGTCGTTCAAAGTACGTCAAGACGTGAAACGCACGAAGATGAACCGTGACCTCGACGTGAACAGCTGTCTGCAGATCTTAATGGATGTCGCCACACAGATGTTGGAGCCGAAGGTAAATAAATATCATCACAGATGTAATCTCATCAAGAAATATCCACTATGGTTTCCAAGGGATAGCGCGGGCGGGGTTACCATTCCATTTTCATTTATTAAAAAAAAACTTGATGAAGTATATTGCTAGGACTATTGATAGGACTTTTTAGAAGAATGCCATTTCTTCTGCCATGAATGCGCATTCAGCGCGGAGCGCCGCGTTCTGGTCGCGGAAGTGTGGAACGACCTCTCGCTGCCGAATGTAGTTTGGAGAATGGTCAGTAGCGAGAGGTCGTGGAAAGCCGTACTCACCTTCTGTGACGCGGTGATGTCGCAGAAGGAAGCAGCCGAGCGGGTGCGTGAGAGTGCCTCCACCGCTCCCGCCATTCGCCGCCGACGAGTCAGGCGAAGGAGAGGGGGCGCGCCCTCTTCTCTCCACCTCACTAGGGCCAGGGTGCAGCCTTGAGGGAGGCACACCCCATTAAGTTCCCTAGGAGGTGTGCGCACGTACTCGTGCGCCTCCTGAGACGGTAGGATGGGAAGGGCATTCCCCATCCTAAATACGAGAGGTGGCTACGCGACGGCCCGCCCTATAGATGTTATAGGGCATAACATCTATAGGGCGGGCCGTCGCGTCGGGCTCCGGTCGTTTTCACTTCGGGAGATTTAACGTTAAAAAAAAAAGAATAGGACTCGTAGTTCGCATTACTACACCCCCTCCCCCCCTCCTTAATAGAGGTAAGATTAGAGAGATTTTTTTGTTGGATGATAATGGATTGGTAATCCCACCTTCGCTAACGGGATACGTTGGCGCGGCACCAGTGAAGGGTGATAGATGAGAATGAAAATAGGCCAGTTACCATGTATCAGTAACCATGATAGTTTCCAGGGAGCACCGCGAGGAGGTCGACTTGGCTGGGTATATTGCTAGCAATGGGATTCTTAGTTTTTTTTTTTTTTTTTACAACACAGGGGGCAAACGAGCGTGCGGCTCACCTGATGGTAAGTGACTACCGCCGCCCATGATCACCCACAACACCAGCGGCATTGCAGGTGTGCTGCCGGCCTTTTAAAAAGGAATATACTCTTTTCTTGAAGGTTATGTTGTCGTATCGGTTCGGAAATACTGCTGCTGGAAGTTGATTCCAAAGAATGGTTGTGCGTGGAAGAAAGTGCCTTGAAAAACGCACGGTGGAAGACCGCCACTCGTCCAGATGATTGGGATGAAACTTTAGTTTGTGGCGGGTTGTACGGTGGTGAAAATCAGCAGCAGGTATCAATCCGAACAATTCCTCAGAACACTCCCCATGATAAATTCGGTAGAAGATGCACAGAGACGCAACATCTCTGCGCAGTTTCAATGGGTCAAGTCGGACAGTAAGGCGTTGACTATCGATAATTCGAGCCGCCCGACTTTGAATGCGGTCTAACGGAAGGAGTTGGTACTGTGGCGCTCCTGCCCACAGGTGAGAACAGTATTCCATATGCGGCCTGACTTGGGCTTTATATAATTTCAGGCGGTGTTCTGGCATGAAATATCGTCTCACCCTATTGAGCACTCCTAACTTTTTGGAAGCTATCTTAGCCTTCTCCTCCAGATGACCGCAAAACTGGACGTCGCAAGATATATCAACGCCCAGAATTCCTAGACTTGACTTTTTATCAAGGGAAGTGCCCTGAAAGTGAGGAGATACGACAAACGGCGTCTTTTTTGCGGTAAACGCGCAGACTTGTGTCTTTTTGGGGTTAAATTGGACAACTTAACTTGGGGTTAAATTTTCATTACTAACAATTCCTTTTTCCCTCCGATCAGAGAAATAGATAGATAGATAGATAGATGACATTTATTACCATTACTAAGAAATTAAAACAACAAAAAGGAAAAAAAAAACAATTAATGTTGCTGGTAATAGGAGCCGCCTCAGCTATTGCTATATATGTACAGCTCCAGCGAGATGTACCTATATAGCGCTGATTTTCAGGCGGCCCCTTAACTCCTTTACCCTTAGCATGCGTGCGGGTCGCTAATACCTATTTCTCGGATGGGAGACTCAACACGCCTACCAACAAATACATAATACATTACAACACATACATAAAACATTACAATAAATACATAAAACATTACAACAAATACACAAAAAATTACAACCAAAACCGAGAAGAATAAACTCTAAATATGAGATTGATTGTTGTGTGCCGGCAGGCGGGCACTGGCACGGCGGCGCGCGTGGCGCTGGTGCGGTGCGTGGCGGCGGCGGCGGGCGCGTTCGCGGCGCCGGCGCCGTGGTGCTGGGCGGGCGGGCTGCTGCTGCGCGCCGCCGCGCACCGCGCGCTCGCGCACTACGCCGCCGCCGCGCGCGCGCTGCTGCTCGCGCTCGCCACCTGCCTCTGCGTGCTGCACCGCGTCGACGGCCTGCAGGTACGCACCACCGCACCACCGCACCACCGCACTCCGTGGTGCTGGGCGGGCGGGCTGCTGCTGCGCGCCGCCGCGCACCGCGCGCTCGCGCACTACGCCGCCGCCGCGCGCGCGCTGCTGCTCGCGCTCGCCACCTGCCTCTGCGTGCTGCACCGCGTCGACGGCCTGCAGGTACGCACCACCGCACCACCGCACCACCGCACTCCGTGGTGCTGGGCGGGCGGGCTGCTGCTGCGCGCCGCCGCGCACCGCGCGCTCGCGCACTACGCCGCCGCCGCGCGCGCGCTGCTGCTCGCGCTCGCCACCTGCCTCTGCGTGCTGCACCGCGTCGACGGCCTGCAGGTACGCACCACCGCACCACCGCACCACCGCACTCCGTGGTGCTGGGCGGGCGGGCTGCTGCTGCGCGCCGCCGCGCACCGCGCGCTCGCGCACTACGCCGCCGCCGCGCGCGCGCTGCTGCTCGCGCTCGCCACCTGCCTCTGCGTGCTGCACCGCGTCGACGGCCTGCAGGTACGCACCACCGCACCACCGCACCACCGCACTCCGTGGTGCTGGGCGGGCGGGCTGCTGCTGCGCGCCGCCGCGCACCGCGCGCTCGCGCACTACGCCGCCGCCGCGCGCGCGCTGCTGCTCGCGCTCGCCACCTGCCTCTGCGTGCTGCACCGCGTCGACGGCCTGCAGGTACGCACCACCGCACCACCGCACCACCGCACTCCGTGGTGCTGGGCGGGCGGGCTGCTGCTGCGCGCCGCCGCGCACCGCACCACCGCACCACCGCACCACCGCACCACCGCACCATCGCACTGCGGCGCCGGCGCCGGCGCCGTAGCCGATGGCATTGAGGACATCTATCGGGCATGTCGCCATCCCGAAAAGTCACTCAGACATGTGCTTTCGGGTTGTTCAGCTCTTGCCAACACTGAGGACTTGCACAGACACAACCAGGTAACCAAAATACTCCATCAAGAGCTAGCTCTGAAGTACAGCCTTGCGAATGAAAGGTTGTCGTACTATAAGTACGAGCCCCTGCCGGTCCTCGAAAACAACAGCGTCAGACTCTACCGGGACCGATCCATCATTACGGACAGGACAGTTTTTGCGAACAAACCTGATATCGTGGTGATGGTTCGGGCACTCTCGAAGGTGTTTTTGGTGGATGTCACCATACCGCATGACGAGAACTTCGTGAAAGCCGAAACCGAGAAAAAGAGAAAATATCTCGACCTGGCTCACGAGGTGACCGAAATGTGGGGGATGGCGTCCACCGAAATTATTCCAATCGTTTTGTCGGCGAACGGTCACTCACTCACTCCCGGGAAAGATGCAGAAAGCGGTACTCTTAGATTCCGCCCGCATTGTACGCCGGTTTCTCTCCCTGGGGCCCTGAACCCCGGCTGACTGTCCCTTCTGCCGGGAGTTAGTTTACCATCTCCCCTCCTTAAGAGGAGAGATGTGAATTTTTGTAGAAATTTATAAAATAATAATAATAAATCTTTATTTTACTTTTTGTTACAATATAGTTTGAAGTCCCTAACTCCCGAGGTAGGTATAAAAACCCTGTGTTTCAGGAGTAAGTGCCCTATTCCATATGTTAAACTAGCGGCTCGTCCCACCTTCGCACCGGTGCACATTTTTAAAACATTTCATAGATCCGCCTGCCCTCACCTGCCCCGCCCACACCGCTACGATGCCTGGCTAGCTAGCCACGCGGCCGACACGGCGCGGGCGTCGGGCGGCGCCTTTTCTATATCTTTTTAACATAATATCTTTCGAGTGAAATATACCCACGATTTGAAAAATACAAAAAGTAATCCTATCATACCTTAAGCAGACAGTTATTATACTGTTTTCTTCGTATTAACATCATCAGGAACTGACAACGGTACACCAGAAATTGCTCAAATCTCTAACTTCGAGCTACGCGCCGCTCCGTCAAGCGGCGCTGCAGGGCTGCCTCCTGCAACTGAGCAGTAAACCGGTCTTTGTCCAGCCGGGAGTTCCTAATCCATTCCAAGAACTGGTCGCCCAGCTAAACGTCGCCGTGAGGCTGAACCTAACACCGAATTGCAAGTGAGTTTGTTTAAAATATATAACACAGTTTGTCTATAGTAAAGCAAGGAGTACCAATCAGTAATTTATCTGTCAACTAGCGGATATGTTTTAACTCGGTCAGTGAATTAAGTGGGATAATTCGCGTAGGTATACCAAATTTTATAATCTCGCAGCAGCTAGAAATAAAATTATAAGATTTTGTATTAACTAATCCAGTCGTGTTTACTAAAAAATCCGTTAGATGGAGTTATGGATGTTATTATGTTACGTTTTATGAATTTTACTATTACAATGCGGATAAAGTACAGGGTATAGCTTGGATGCGTACGTTATCATTGTCATTTACTAGCAATCCACCCGATTTTGCACAGGGATATAGAAAATTATTATTAATTATATTATTCTTTATTATACACAAAAGGTTATTGAAATAGAAAAAAGTACAAAAGTCGATTACTTGGGTACCTCTGTCCCATTCATTCAATTTCATTTCATTTCATTTCATTTAATTTCATTTAATTTCATTTTATTTCATTCATTTCATTTCATTTCATTTCATTCGTGTTTCTACCGTGAAGCAGTTGTGTTTGCATGGCTGTGTTTCGGTTTGAAGGGTGGGATATGGCGTGAATTTACAGGGTACAGAGGAATAACACCTGAGTCCTCAGGAATGGCAACGCATGGGGGTATCATGGGCGAAACAGTATGTGTGTGTACTGTTATGTCCATGGTACTGCTCATGTCTATAGGCGACGGTTACCACTTTCCATCAGGTGGGCTGTCAGCTTGTTTGCCATTCTAAGACGTATAAAAAAAATAAAATAAAAAAAGTGCACAAAGGCGAGCTTATCTCCAAAAGAGATTTCTTCCAGCAAACCCAATATGAGAAAAACTTAGTTTATTAGTAGTTACAGTCAAACATGTGTACCAATCCACTCAAATGGTATAGTTAAAAATAAATAAATAAAATATCTTTACAATTAAAAACACCGATAGGTATAAATAAAGGAATTAAATATATATAAGTAAATATATGTAAATAGATAGATTATATTATATTACCTTTAATAGACAAGCTTTTGAATTACATTATTATAATTTTCATAAGAAGCTATAATTTTTTTAAATATTATTACTATATCGTCTATATTAATCACTGGCAATGAAGCTTTTTATAGATGAACTATATTTTATATATATATATATATATATATATATATATATATATATATATATATATATATATATATATATATTCTTTATTGCACTAAAACATACAGTAACAACAATAAGTTAATAACAATGTTAGCAAAGGCGAACTTATCTCTAAAAGAGATCTCTTCCAGTCAACCTAACACAGTGGCATAGGAAGTAGTGAGTGGGCAGTAGTAGTGCTAAACAGAGGTTAAAATAAATATTTACATAAATAATTCATTATAAACGAACATAGAAAGAATTATTATTTTCTTTCACGCTATATTCTCTGTTCGTAAGAAAGTGACAAAGGTTGTTTAAAGTATGTTTTTTTTTTCTTTTCAGAATATCACTATATGAACAAAGTTTATATTGGACAGTGCTGTTCACGTTGATTGAACTCGGACACCCGGATCTGATAAATGTTGCCGTTGACTTTTTGTTGACACATCCGAGGCATTATTGTGGAGATCTCGTTGTTAAGGTAAGGGAAAAGTGAATACATGCAATCGTGCTTCCCAATGAGTCAAGTGGTCGTTGATGAGATATCGTCATAGTCGTAGAATACTGACGGATCTTTATATGTAATCTTTGTCAGATCCGTCAGTATTCTACGACTATGACGATATAAGCTCCCGGAGTACTATCAAACAAATTAACCTGTCCTTCATTTTAATTTAATCAACTATGCACGTGAAACGCTGATTTTCAATTATGATTTTTTATTTATTTGGTTCTCGACTTTTTTTTTTTTTATACAACTTAGAATGGCAAACAAGCTGACGGCCCACCTGATGGAAAGTGGTAACCGTCGCCTATAGACATGAGCAGTAGCATGGACATAACAGAATATACTCTTTCGCCCTTGATACCCCCATGCGTTAGCATTCCTGTAGACTCAGATATTATTTCTCTGTACCCTATAAATTCAGGTCATATCCTACCCTTCAAACCGAAAGACAGCCATGCAAACACAACTGCTTCACGGTTGAAACACGAATGGGACAGAGGTATCCAAGCAATCGACTTTTGTACAAAGTCTCCCTCTGGTAAAATTGTATTAATTGCCTTAAAAAAATAGTATTCTAGACAAATTCAAGTTCAATATTTTTAATAAATAAACAGGGTCAGTTTTCTGTAATTTTTAAATTTATTATTTTATGATCCGTATAATAGAAAACATTGGGGGAAAGGGATTGTTAGTAATGGAGTCTAATTGACCCATTGCTTGCAATACATCCTATCAGGTCGACCTTCACGCGGTTCCCTCTGGAAACTGTCGTGGTTAATTATAGTGGAATTCGTCACGATGGGCTAACTGACCTGCTTTCATTCTCACCTGTCATCCTTCACTGGTGCCCCGCCAGCGTATTTTATCACCCATTTAAAAAAAATAGAAAACATTAAAAAAATTAATCTTTTTATTATAACAAGGTGTTAATGATGTGCGTTTGCGTTTTGATGATGAACGGATGATGATGATGATGATGAATGTATACACCTAGTATTTGAAGCGGTTTAACTAGGGTAAATAAAAAATAAATAATTTTGAAGCGTTGATGTAATATAAATTTAATGTAACACGCTGAAGTTTGTTTTGCAAGTAAGTTACAGTTTGAAACCTGAAAGGTCATGTAAATTTCACCTGCGTTATGGTTGGCGTTCTCGCGATGTCGTGATGAGCGACACTTGTGACTGGTTGATGTTGTGGGTGATCGTCTATTAATAACTTAGCAGTCGTCTATTGGCTTCACCGCTGAAGACGCTTCATTATACGCAGCAGTGATCAGTATTCATGGCATATTATTTATGCTTTAACAGGGTATATGCACCACAATCCGACAACAGGTATTGCCTAAAGATCTGAAGAATACGGTGATAGAGAGACTTCTGGACAACATGAAGAGCTACTGTGAACATCACGCGGTGCAGATACTGATGGTGCATTTGTTCTCAGGTGAGGTTTTGTCATACCTAGATTCTGTCCGTCCTAGATTTATTTCTAGTCATTAGGAGTGGAAAATATATAGCAGTATCTATATATTGGTCTAATAACGAGTATGTTGAAAATCTGTTATACAAATATCTGTAAATAGATATCCGACCGATATGCCGCTTCAATACCTCTGTTAAATCCTACTACCTCTCACTTTAGTACTATTTTCCTGTGTTCTCTCTTCGTTTTCCTTCGTCATTTTTTCTTCTGTTGTGTGTATGTATGTGTATTTATTTATTTATTCTTTATTGCATTGACATGAGCAATACCATGGACATAACAGAGTATACTGTTTCGCCCATGATACCCCCCATGCGTTGACATTCCTAAGTTGTTATGTTATTGAATTTCATATGATTTTAACTAGTATAACATCACATAAAATGCAATGAAACAATTTTTCTCCCAATAGCTTGTCACCTAGTCCAGTTTAACTCTAAATATTGATACATTATGTCTTCGCAGCCGACAATAAACTGCTAAGCCCAAAACTCACATCCGACGTGTCGAATATGGATCCAGACGTGCTAATGAGCTCCATGGAACGCATCACTTTGCTCTACAAGACTCTGCGGCAAGTTAGGAATAAAGAGAGCAAGACTCTACTCACGTCCGCCATGAAGTACTTCCTAAGAGAGACTCTCCCGCCGGCGGCTACTTTGAGCAGAGTCGTGATAGAGTTTCTGGAGACTTGCAAGGACGCCGAGAAGATGAAGTTGAGCGTTATAAACGATAGGGGGCGCTGGATAGAGGGCGCTGTTTTGAATGCTCAGATCGTTTTTGAGGTTAGTGTTGCTTTAATAGTATTTTTGAAGATCAAAATTTGAAATGATATTGATGTAGTTTTTTTTTATTGGATGATGAATGGAGTGATTACCTCGCCTGCGCTATCGGTATACGCTGGCGGAGCACCAGTGAGGGATGATAGGTGAATAATGAAAAAGGCAGGTCAGTCAAGCCATCGTGATGAATACACCTGGAACTCAGCACAATGGTTTCCAGGGGGAACAGCGCGGAGGTCGACCTGACAGGGTATATTATTAGCAATGGGACTGGTAGACCGCATTACTAACTATCCCTTCCCCCCGATTTTGATGTAGTGTTATATTTGTATTATAATTAATATTTGTTTATTTTTACTGGACAAATAGTAAATTAATCTATTGTTAGGCATGTTTTCGTCACTGCACCCAAGTGAAATGGCAGGACACCGGAATTTGCTGATTTTCTATCTTGTTATAATATTCTATGTGTGGTGGCGAAAGCGAATTGTTGTACTAGGGGTTTGTTTGTCTTGTTAGGGAGACAGAAAAAGGACAAAGTGTAACTAAAAAAAATGGTAGTAGCGCTCTCAATATTATGGATGGTTATTTATATATTATGTACCTCTGTCCTATTCGTGTTTCAGCCATGAAGCAGTTATGTTTGCATGGCTGTGTTTTGGTTTGAAGGGTGGGATATGGCGTGAATTTACTGGGTACAGAGGAATAACACCTGAATCCTCAGGAATGGCAACGCATGGGAAGTATCATGGGCGAAACAGTATACTCTGTTATGTCCACGGTACTGTTTATGTCTATAGGCGACGGTTACCACTTTCCATCAGGTGGGCCGTCAGCTTTTTTGCCATTCTAAGTTGTATAAAAAAAACAAAACACGCTAGCCAACCGCAGTTAGGCTTTGGTGATGTTTTAAGAGGGACGCTGCTGCCCATCGCTCAACCATTTAATTTCCTTAGTTGCCTTTTACGACATCCACGGGAAAGTATAGGGCTCTTAGTCTTAGTACGGACGAAATATCTCCCATGGTACTGTTATAGTTGTAAAAGTACTGAACGTTCATTTTAAATGGTAAATTCTATAAAATGCATTCTTCTCGCAGGTGTTCGAAGCAGCAGTGTCTCAAGATCAACTGCCGGTGCTCAGCGGTTGGATCTTTGAAGCGTTATGCCATTTGCTAAATGGAAAAGTATCACCGACTCTACTGCCGTATTGCGTAACAACATTATTGGTTTCAGCCAGTCCGAACCAGTTCATAAGGAAAGTGGCGCCGCTGTGTTTTAGCATACTTAGAACCGGCTTCCAGAAGTCCGTCGAAAAAGAGATCGCATGGGGTATATTCCGGAATTTCCTCTCAAGCAGCGAGGGCGTCATGTCGTTCACAGATAGAAGGTTGATGTGTGTGGCGTCCACACATTCCAATTTCAGTGGATCTCAGTTGGAGAGGTTGAAAGAATTGTGCGAGAAGAATGATTGTCTAGAAGATGTCTTGCGTTGTTTGAACTTGTAACTTTAGAGCAAATGTATGAGGGAAAAAGCTTACCTAGTCAGTATTGTAACTGATTTTTATGTAGGAACATAGAGTAGTAAATGTTACAGTCTAAAGGACATTCCTGTCAGTCGTCCAAAATGCAAGTGCGATGCGTTAGGAATCGTGATGTAATCGTTCGTGATATGTAAACATGTTGGACTACTGGTAGTATCTTACTCTGTGTAAATGTTTTGAGATGGTAACAAATCGGCGGTAGTTCGATGAAAGCGCATAAATAATCAGACATATTTTATATTTAAATAATAGAACTTAAATTGATTTTTTTTTTAATAATTGACCATGAGCGGCGGTAGTCACTTACCATCAGGTGAGCCGCATGCCCGTTTGCACCGTGTTGTAAAAAAAAATTATTATTTACTTTTTATGTGTTTTATTTTAAATGATTATTACAAATAAAAATACATACATTAAATAGATCATTTGTAGGCTTTTAGACATTTAAAATGTTATCGAGTAAATGGTCCAAGACCATAAATAATTTCTTTCTTCTATATTGCTGGAGATTGTAAAAAAATAGTAGATATCCGTAGACGTTTCATACAGCGCCATCTAGTAACTAAGACTACTAAAAAATCGATAGTCATATTTTTTATAAATACATAGAAAATGGCCAGATCAATACAAAGAATATACATACGAATATAAAATGTTTGTATTGTGCGGAGATTAGTCTAAACGTGAAATAAAAAAAGTGTCATTAGTTTCTCATTGTGCAAGTTCACTTCAGTACGCGATAGATGGCGCTGTATGGCAAGTGTTCAAGGACATAAAATTCATGTTCATTTATTCATCTCAAACCGGTACTACTTATTTTAATGGTGCTCGAAGTATTTTTTTTTTTTTATCAAGTAGAAACAAATCGCTTTTATACTGTCAATTGCATTTTTGTCTATCTTAACTTAATACCTAAAGGTACAAAGTAATTAAAATACATTTTAGATAGTGTAGAATTAATCAAAAAAAAAAAAAACCACTTCATACTACTTTTTACATGACGGCCCAAAAAATGGGTGTAACGTTTTCAAAGATCGTGTATGTCTGTCAGTTTCTTTATTTCATCGTAACTTTTTAATAGCTGAATAAATTTGGATGTATGGGATCGCTAGATTCGTTCATTCTGAGTGATTTTTTGATTTATTTTTTTATAGTATCACAGTTGTGTATTAAAAAAAGTTACTTGTTTATAAAAATAACTCACTTTAAGCTAAATTCACGCTTCTTTCCGGGCACAGAGTAGATTTTATGAAAAACTAAATTTATCTACTCGTCATAAATTTTATTATGAAAATAAAAACAGGATAATGTGTATTAAAAATAAAGACAATTAGAAATAAATGTAAATATTCATATTATGCAATGTATTTCCCTAACAAAATAATGTAGAAATATATGTTCTTTTTTAATTTCTTTTTTTTTATATTGCCTATTTATTTATATATTTTATTTTATACAAGCGAGAAATTATATAACTGAGGCCGATTTTGTGGTGCCATTTGTCTGAATCTATCTCTTAACCCTTTGAGTGCCGACGAGCGCCACCGCGCTCGTGCGCATTGCAACTAAAAGTGCCACGAGCGTCATAGTGCTCGTGAAATCAGTCGCTGTTTAGCTTGCTGTAAAAAAAATATTAAAATTGGATAATTTTTGGAGGAGATACAGTTTTTTTAGAGACAAGGGTAAATGACATCAACACGACAAAGATTTCTTTGGCATTTTTAAGTAGATATGAGTAGAAATCAATGGCACTAAAAGGGTTAAGGTTTTAATTTGATAATTTTGCGAAATTACAGTTTTATGGACCATTATATACTAAAATTATAGTCATTTTGACTTAAGTCTATTAAAAAATTAATTAATCCTTACTAGAAATGGGACCAATATATATATATATATATATTGGTCCAATAACGAATATGTTAAAAGTCCATTATTCAAAAAATAACATTATATAACAGATTTCAACATATTCGAATATAGATATCCGATTGATATGGCCAATATCGAAATGAGTGATGACCTTTCCGCCATCAATACACAAAGGAACTCATTATATAGGAATCGGATATCGGATCGGTATCCATATTACCCATGCCTAGTCCTTACAATACTGTTGCTGATTTTCACCATCGTACAACCCGCCATAAACTAAAATTTCATCCCAACCATCTGGACGAGTGGCGGTCCTCCACCATGGGTTTTTAAGGCACTTTCTCCCACGCACAACCACTCTTTGGAATTAACTTCCAGCAGCAGTATTTCCGAACCGATACGACAACATAACCTTCAAGAAAAGAGCATATTCCTTTTTAAAAATCCGGCAGCACACCTGCAATGCCGTTTGTGTTGTAGGTGACTATGGGCGGCGGTAGTCACTTACCATCAGGTAAGCCGCATGCTCGTTTGCCCCCTGTGTTGTAAAAAAAAATAAAGATTTCGCTATGATATCGAATAGAAATTTTAATTTTACAGATAGTTTTAGAGAAATATCGCCTACAGAATCGAGCCTATTAGCATGCTTTTTAATCAATTTTACCAATGAACCTGACCGTTTTATTCAGGAAAACATGGGTTAACAATGATAGAAAAAGTTATTAAGTACTTAATAACTTTTTCTAAAATGTAACTTCAGTTCTCCATCTCAAATAATACGTGTATACTAAATTTCATAACCATTGGTTGAGCCGTAGGGTAAGAGATAACAGTCTTTTTGTATTTATAATATTACTGTTTCCGCGGCTTCATCCACATAAATCAGGATATAAAGTATTCTGTGTGCTTAGGTTATAACCTATCCATGTATCAAGTTTTATTCAAGTTTAACAGTTTTTGTGTGAAAGAGTAACAATCATCCAGCCATACATTTTTTCGCGTTTATGGCGGTAGTAGGATTAGTAACGACGGACAGATAATTCAGACATTGCTGCCCTTCGCTAAAAAAGCTATTAGATTGTTCAACACCAAAGAAAATGTAATATTTTTGTCCGGCTCGAAGGACCAGGACGATATGAGGGCCGTTACAAAGTGATAACATGATAATGCACAGATTGATAGCCCAATAATAAATTTTATTGATTAAAATTAGATTAATCAATAGATAGATTAGATAAAACATTGCTAAATAAAGATAGACGCCAGCAATATCGCTCTACGATTGAAGTACGTTGATTTAATTAACAATTTTTGTGTCTATGCTCTATATATATAGATTAAAAGTAATATATATATATATATATATATATATATATATATATATATATATATATATATATATAATTAATGAAATGTTCTTCATGAAATTGGGGATCTGCATGTTACAAAAGTTCATGGCGGTTGAGTCATATGTCATACGAGTACGTCTGCAAACACTGCGCTCCTGAAACTAGTCAGACATCTAGAAAATTAAGACTTGAGTATATTCCACATAAATATAATAATTACTAGGACTCACGATTAGATTTTGTTATTCGAATAATTTGTAATTATTAATGTCATAATTCGACTACTGAATTAGTAATACACTAATTATCGTATTCCAATAATTTTACTAATTAGTAACAACTAATTCTGTCTTATGTACTACTAGTACTACCATAGTCTGTTCCCTGTCATCCACTATTACGACATATACATTAGCAGTGCTCTAGCCCATTCTTAAATAAACATTCCAGCGATCGGGTCGACTCGACTATGTTCGTGCCAGTTCGTACATCAACGATTACTAATAAATGAAATTAGTAGTCGGGGGAAAGGGATTGTTAGTAATGGAGACTGAGAATCCCATTGCTAGCAATATACCCAACCGGGTCGACCTCCACGCGGATCCCCCTGGAAACTATCATGGTTAATTCCTGACGAATTCATCATGATGGGCTAACTGGCCTGTTTTCGTTCTCATCTATCACCCTTCATTGGTGCTCTGCCAGCGTATCCCGTTAGCGCAGGCGGGGCTACCATACCATTTTCACCCATCAAAAACAAAAAAAAATTGTAGTCGGACGATATTAGTACGCCGGTTAAATTAGTAGCCGGATTAGTAAAATTGCGCATCGCTACTCACGGTAGTTTTTATTTTTTTATTTTTTGTTTATTTTTGTGTTTTGGTTCTTAGCAAAGATTGTCACTTAAATTGTTAACTTGAACAAATATATGAAATATAACTATATCGAATAAGTGTAATATTGTACAATTGTATATTTTATGAAACTATGTACAATAATTGAAATTATATTTTTTAAATGCAACGCTTCCGCATGAGGTAAATAAATAAATAAATAGTCATTAAATAAATTAGTTTCATTTATTTATCCAAAAGTGTAGAGGTATTTGTTACAACAACCTCGGTTCCTTCAAATGTAGCGTGGAAAAAGACTTAGTAATCCGGCACAGTGCGGCCAACCGTCGAGAGTAGAATAGTCTTTTTTTTCCGTTTGATTGCATTCATGCACCATATTGTCGTTGTCTTTTAATAAATGATAATGGAATGGTGACCCCGCCTGCGCTATCGGTATACGCTGACGGGGCACCAGTGAAGAATGATAAGTGAGGTTGAAGGCAGATCAGTTGGCCCGTCGTGACCAATTTATAAATAATTTAGCACGGTGGTTTCCAGAGGGAATCGCGTGGAGATCGACCTATTAGGGTATATTGCAATGGGGTTGTAAAACCCTATTAATAACAATTCCTTTCCCCGGATCCGGGGGTTAAAAAGGCCTTAATGGAATGGAATTTACTTTGAAAAACTTGTTGATTATAATAGAACTCACACACTGAGGGCGTAATATGTATGTGCGTGTGTGCGTGCGTGCATGCGTGCGTGCGTGTGGGTGTGCGTGCGAGCATGAGTGCCTGCGTGTGGGTGTTGGTGGTGCGTATGTGTGTTTTAATTCACATTATTTGCTTTGTAGTACGCGACAATTATGTAGTGATATCAAATAATATTATCTTCTAATGAGATAAGCGGGTGGGCTCAATTCTAATTGGGAATTTTGTAAACAAAACTGAATGCTATGGTCATAAGGTTTGGTTTAGATGTATGCTATTCTTTATACATCTTAGTATGGAAAACAAGCGTTTTTTACGTTTGATTGCATTCATGCACCATATTGTCAATGTGTTTTTTGATAAATGACAATGGAATGATACCCCCGCCCGCGCTACTGGTATGCGCTGGCGGGGCACCAGTGAAGGATGATAGGTGAGGATGAAAGCAGGCCAGTTAGCCCATCGTGACGAATTCCACTAGAACTAACCACGATGGTTTCCAGGGGGAATCGCGAGGAGGTCTACTTGATAGGGCTAGTACTAGGATTGCTCATCCTCATCATTAAGATTTCCTTCTCCCCTAATATCCACCCCCCCCCCCCCCCCCATCCATATTACCCATGCCTACTACTTAGTCATTAGCGTATTTAAGATTGTTTTACCATAGAAAAGTGTATATGTATTCTCTAGAGATTTCTTTAAATATTAATATACAATATAATACAGGCAAAACTGAGTTGGAAACATACCCCCCCCTGTCCTCTCAAATATGTACTTAAGTAAAATATTGTAATTTAAAAAAATATGAATGCAATGAATTTTTTAGTCCTCTTTAAGGACCTTATTTTATCAACTTAGAATGGCAAACAAGCTGACGGTCCACATAAGACATAAGTAGTACCATGGACATAACAGAGTATACTGTTTCGCCCATGATACCCTCCATGCGTTGCCATTCCTGAGGACTCAGGTGTTATTCCTCTGTACCCAGTAAATTCACGCCATATGCCACCCTTCAAACCGAAAGCATGCACAGCCATGCAAACACAGCTGCTTCACGGTTGAAACACGAATGGGACAAAGGTACCCAAGCAATCGACTTTTGTACAAAGTCTCTCCCTGCGTCCGAATATGTGACATTTCCAGTTATATGCGATTGCTTAACGTTTATTCGTACTCTGTAGAATTTAAATATAAATCCTGTGTTTCTTTATCAAGCCATGAGTGTCTTACCTACATGTACATATAGATTGACACATATATATCGAATGATAGTCACCATATCGTTATCTATTCATAATTATTAGTCTTTTGCTATTTTATCAGTAATGAAATGCCGTCAAAATGGCCGTAACGCGACGCGGATATATCTTTAGTGCGTTTTTGTTGAGTGTTCTTAGTATATTATTAATTATAGTTGCCATAGCAAGTGATAGTTGGGTAAGTATCGATGCACACCGTCAGGATTGCATTTTTGTTTGCGTGTCCAATTGCACGTATGTAATCGGACGATATATGCCTCTGTCAGGTATTGTATGTATTATGAATCTATGGATATATTGATATATACTGCCCTGTAATCCCGGGATGGGATGTGGCACCCTTTCCCCGTGGGTGTCGTAAGTGGCGACTAAGGGAATTTAATGCTTGAGCGATGAGCAACAGCGTGCTTCTTAAAACATTATTAAAGCCTAACTGTGACTGTAAACACTGCCAAGCGTGGTAATTTTTTTTTTAATGGATAATAATGGAATGGTAATCCCACCCGCGCTATCGATATACACCGGCGGGGCACCAGTGAATGATGATAGGCGAGTATGAAGCAGGTCAGTTAGCCCATCGTGACGAATTCAACAAGAATTGTTCACGATGGTTTCCAGGGGGAACCACATGGAGGTCGACCTAATAAGGCATATTAGTAGCAATAGAGCTGTCAAACTCCATTGCTAACAATCCCTTTTCCCTCTACCTTTTTATTCACCTGTGAGAAGCCGTAGCGGTTCGCCAGTGTAAAATAACTGAGGGCTGTTTCAGATAGTGTCACGTGCGTCGGAGGTGGGCCAGGAATTAGACAGCCACTTAAGGTATGGCTTGTTTACGGGGTTATGGCAGGATTACACGTTAATTACGCCCGTAATGAGCACATTACACAGTAAGTAATGTTATATCTTATTACTATTGTTAGTGCTGTTTAAATTAAACTTTCATAAAATTTATAATTACTCGTATAGTTTTTTTATTAAAAGAAATAATACTTAAAATGCTTAAGTTATGAACTCATTACAACAGTAGTAGCTAGTCATATTTTTTTATATATTTATCTAGTTGTAATAAATATGTATATTGCATTGTGGTCCCAGCATAGAATAGGCCACTCCTTACCTTCCCCTAGGTGTCGTAAGAGGCGACAAAGGGAGGTTGAGAGATGGTCATGTTTCTCATGAGTAGTGTTTCTCTTAAAACATCTCTAAAGCCTAACTGCGGTTGCCAATTCGCCTGCCAGGCATGGCAACCACTGGAAAACCCCAAGGGGGAGGTTTATGTTCAGCATTGGACAGTTAAAGGCTGATATAATGATGATGATGATATAAATATTATATAAATATTTATATACTAAATTAAATTTAAGCGAATGGCTGTAAAATTGTTTTATTGTTTTCCATCTTTCTAAATTATTATTACATTACCTGTATACCTTTATTACTATTAAAATTCATAAATTTTCAGTGACATGTGTGCCTGGTAAGAACGCGTGTGCTCAGAGTTGCAAAACGACAAGAGAAGCGAGACTTACAGAGGTAATTATAGGTTTTATCTACATCTACACTAATATTATAAAGAGGAAAGATTTGTATTTTTGTGTGTATGTATGTTTGTAATGAATAAACTCAAAAACTATTTTGCCGATTTCAAGAATTCTTTCACCATTAGAAAGATACATTCACCCTGAGTAACATAGGCTATATTCATTGTTAGGAGAGATTAGGGATTCTTACTAAAACTTTAGTAACGTAACTCAAGGTGTAAAAAATGCTATAAAATACCTTTCGTCGTGTGCGCTGCGGAAACTATTGGTGATAGAACAAAATATGTTTTTACAAATATTGAAGAAAATATCAATAACTACAAAAAACGTAGCGATACTATATGTCCAACTATTATCGTTATGTCACAATAATCACTTTTTAAAATGTTGTAAAAATGTCCACCCGTGCGAAGCCGGGACGGGCCGCTAGTCAATACATATAATAAAATCGTAATTGATCGCTGTCTGTACATAGGAGATATGTATATAAGAAAAACGATTATAAGGAAGCTTTATGAACGCAATGGAACCCAAAACAATAACTTTTAGAATATTTGTCTGTTCGTCTTTACGTCTGTGTAAGCTAATCTCAGAAACGGCTTAATCGCTTTGAATGCGCTTTTCACTAATACGTTGCCATTTGCTCCACTTAACATTTAGTGTTTGTTTTATTTCAATCGGTTCATAAATAAAAAAGTTACATCAATCTAAAGAATCACATATAAAATGCTATAAAATAACCGATCAGTTGAATTGGCTGGAACTTTGTGAAGGTATTAGGTACGTAATTATCATTTAAGTATATAATACAATATAAGACCGGATTCATGATGAGTTCCAATGGCAATGAAATACGGGAACTACATAGAAGCGGGTAATGCCGCGGGAAACGGCTAGTTGTAAATATATCTACTTAATTTGCTATTTCTTGTTAATATAAAGGATTGTATTTTAAATAACTCTTCGACATAATGCCTACAGTTACGTTTTATCATCGCACCGCTGGCCATCGACAGGAAATCCATCCTCATAGTCTAGAACCAAAATGGTCACGCACAGTGCGGTTTCAGATGAGCTTCCTCCCGGAAACGCTCTGGTTGTGGAATGATTTTCCTAGACATTACAATTCTGGTGTTACAAGCTTTCATAGGCTACGATACGAAATGAAAACCCCGTTTACAATCAGGCGGGCCGTATGCTTGTTTATTTATTTATTTTATTTATTTAACTCTTTATTGCACCATAAATAAAAATATACAATGATAAGTGAATAATTCAAATGAAATACAGTAACATAAATACAGATTGAAATATACACATAAAGGTACAAAAGGCGGTCTTATCGCTAGGGCGATCTCTTACAGACAAACTTTAGTTAAAGGAGAACAGATAGATTTACCACCATAATAGTATAAAAAAAATCCTACTCTCGTGAAAATGATGTTTGCAATTTTTAACCTACTCATGTTGAACTTGAATTAATTGAAGTTGTTCCTATAGGAAATAGTTGACTCGGCAAATTTTGTTTCGACCGTTATCAGCCGCCTCAGCTGTTGCTGTATATGCACACTTCCAGCGAGATGCACCTATTATATACAGCGCTGATTTTCAGGCGGCCCCTTAACTCATTTAACTTTAACATTCACGCGGGTCGCCAATACCCATTTTTCGGATGGGAGACTCAATACACTGATCAAAAAAATTAAAAATAAAAACTAGAATTAAAAAATAATAAACTCTGAATGTAAAAGGACAATTGACAAGGACAGCATCATTGTAAAAACTTAAAAGAAAAGAACGCGAAGCGTCAATTTCTCAGCAGTTTAGTTCAGTAAAGCCTCTATGAATGAGCTAGTATCATTACCACATTATCATTAACAACATATCAGCCATTATCCGTCCACTGCTGGACATAAGCCTCCCCCATAGACTGCCATAAGGAACAGTCTCGAGCCACCTGCATTCACTGACTCCCTAATCTAATCACAGCTTATAAGAAAATAATAACATTCACAGGTGGAAGCATTGGCTGATGGGTACCGACCGATGGTTACCTGCACGTCTGTGACGTTAGTTAACACGGAAGATCCATGTAAGTGTATACATTTTTTAAAAATAAAAACTAGGTTAAGAGGAGAAGGGAATTCTTTTCTTAATCAAGTTGGGGTCGACCCCAATTTCCTATTTAGTAGTAGACTGAGGTCGAACCTGTTTTTAATGACGATAAAAAAATAAACAATACGAGGTCGCCAATCTTTAGCTGAGGGGAGGGGTATCTTTTTTTTATCGTTTTTTCGTCGTACCGTCCTCGCTATTGGATACGGGTGACGGAATGCCTATACAAGAGGGTACATGGTGGACGCAGTTTAGACGCAATATTTGAGAAGCATTAGGAAGGTACTACGGCCGGATACTGCAACAAAAGAAAGAGTATGTGGTCGGCCCCCGAACTGGCGACCTCTGCTGTCTACCGGTCTCCAGTTCGAGGGACGACCGATCACCGGCCGTAAAAGATGACACAGGGCGTCTATGAAAACACAGAGGGGAGGAGGTAATGATTGTTAGTAATTCGGACTACCAATCATATTGCTAGCAATATACCCTATAAGGCCGACCTCCACGTGGAAATACGACGGCCCGATGACTTCCAGGGTGGCCCACGTGGAGGTCGAACTGACAGAGTATATTGCTAGCAATATGATTGGTAGGTATTACTTACAAACCCTTTCCCCCCTGAAATAGTGCTTAACACGTTGCTTCGTGTCTCGGGTTTCGATTCCGAATGGGATAATTTGGGAAATGATTTTTTTTAACTATCTCAAAAAAAAGGTCTGGGTGTTCTGATTTGATATTTACAACTCAATTTTTTTTCTGCTTCCAGTACCAACTCCGCCTGTGATATCTTTCGTTTTCTACTTGTTCCTACTTCTTGTGGTAATCCTGCAAATGCTGTTCGCGATATTCTCTGCGGGCTTAGCTATCATCAACTCTATTAAGAATCCGACCGAACCTGTATTCAGTTTATTAGGTAATTAGAATAATTTATTCCAAAAAAATATGTGTAAACCAATATTCATTTAATTAAATACTGATGGAATTGCCACGGATTTGTCACTACAAATCACCCTTCGACAAACATAGCAGAGGCACTTCTCTGCTATGTTTGTCGAGCCGAAGGGTGATGGCTTTCATACTATCATATGTAAACGCAGTGCCTCTTGTTTAGTCACCAGAGGGAGACTTTGTACAAAAGTAGATTGCTTGGGTACTTCTGTCCCATTCGTGTTTCTACCGTGAAGCAGTTGCGTTTTTTCATGGCTGTGTTTCGGTTTGAAGGGTGGGATATGGCGTGAATTTACAGGGTACAGAGGAATAACACCTGAGTCCTCAGGAATGGTAACGCATGGGGGGTATCATGGGCGAAACAGTATACTTTGTTATGTCCATGGTACTGCTCATGTCTATAGCCGACGGTTACCACTACAGCGTGGTATCAGAGATGTTTCCTCCCACGAACATTCAGGTTATGGAATGAGCTCCCTGCCGAGGTTTTCCCAAGAGACTACAGCACGGGGTTCTTCAAAAGAGGGATAAAGATGTTTCTTCAGGATCGGTAACAAGCGCGTAATACCTCTGGTTCTGCAGGTGCTCATAGGCTACGGTAACCACTTACCATCAGGTGGGCCGTATGCTTGTTTGTCACTTCAGTGGTATAAATTTTTTTTTGTTACTAATACATATTATTTTATATTTCTTGCCGTGTGGTTTCAGTATAGAATGGCCATCCCTTTCTTTCCTGTGGATGTCGTAAGAGGCGACTAAGGTAATTTCACAAATAACAATTGGGAAAATGGTGATGATGATGATGATGATGATGATGTGTCTAGTATAGAGTAATAAATTAATTCTACTATTTTTTTTTACAATTTTTAATATATTTATCTCAATAATCTCAAGGTTGCCTCTGGTTCAACTTGGTGACAGTAGGCCTTGGGATCGTAGCGCTGATGATGTTCGGCATATACTGGGCCACCTCTGGTCTACAGGAGCACCTGGCATTCTCATTCATAGCTCTGGGCTCCTACCGTCTTTCACCGTCGCTTGGCTACTCATATTGGTAAGTGCGTACAGTAATTTTGTCATTATAATGTTAGCTGTTAACTATTCAGTTCTGAACACAGGCCTTCCCTATAGACTGACTTTGTCATTGAGGGGTACAGTGATTTCCTTGATATGTATTAATACAACTAGTGTAATATTTTTATATAATAACTATCGGTTTGATTTACGTGTAATTAGATCGATAAAACTCGACTAGTTTCGGAATCAATTCGTGATCCTTAATCATGAGCGACTGTGACGCGAGCACAACTGTGATGCGAGTATTACTAAAAATCGCATTCCTCTCCTTTCCCCCCACCAGAAAGGTAGGTTAGATTAGATTTAATTTGGTAAAAGTCCCAAAAATGAACTTATTTCTTTATAAAATCCTTACATTTATCGACTCATATTGGTAAATTTTGAGATTTACTAGTAAAACCTTACCAATATACGGGTTTTTACAATAACAGTTACGATACAAAACTATGTGATTTTTATTATATTAATGTAATAGTTAATTATGGATTGACATATCATCAAACGTTGACGATTAATGACATAGTTTTAGCTGACTGCATCATTAATAAACTGGTCACATAACTCGAGGAACTGTCAATTAACAACGCAGTGTAGTATATGTAATCTACCATTAATAAAGATATCAGGAAAAGTTATTTAATATCACATTTTAATAGTGCCTTTTTCTAAATAATAATATGAGATATACATACATACATAATTGTCACGCCTGTCTCCCATTAGGGTAGCCAGAAACAATGGAACGCCAAATGCTTCGATTCAAACAAACGAGATATATTTTTTTATTATTTCAGGCTTTTAATTGTAGCTGTTGTAGCTTCACTCCTGAACATTGGACTTCTTCTACTGAGGGAATATATGCTGGAGAGAGACCCACCACCGCCTACGTTGAAAATTGAAAATCACTCTGATGGCACCATATTTTTATATTAATCTACCTAGTATATTAAAAATATTTAAATATTATGAAATCACATTACAATTATGTATAGAATATTTCAAAAATAGAATGTAAAAAATCATTAATTATACAATAATTATAAATAACATTTACGACTGCTCTTTACAAAAACTGTTACAAGTAACACTATGTGAAAAAACGCATGTTTAACATGCGTTTTTTCACATAGTGCAATAAATATCAATTGTGAGACTAGATTGTTATAAATGATAATCACTGTGATTTTTCATTAATAAAATTGCTGTAATTATGAAAAAAACTTCACTAAATAATAACAAATTAAAAGTAACAAAAAATTTGGCATGTTTAATTACAACAACTGGTCTATACCTTTTGGTTCCCCTTAAGGGGAGGATATTAGCGTACTGAGAATAAAACTGTATAATTTATTAAATCATTAAAATTATGATTTTAATCTTATATGATTTATATTATATTACTTATATTATTATTTCTATCCAAAGTTGGCTTGAAAAAGCTTGTTTTTTTCTGCAACTTGAATGGCAAATAAGCTGACGGCCCACCTGATGGAAAGTGGCAACCATCGCCTATAGACATGAGCAGTACCATGGACATAACAGACATAACATGTTTTCAATGATGGCTCCTAATTGTTTTCTCAGTTTAATTATTTATTTCTTGTAATTAATATTTCTATAAATTATTCTACTGTCACCTTTTTAGAACAAAACAATGTATAGTATAACCACACTAACTAGACAGTTTGAAGTACGTGCGCTTTTATTTTGGGCTTGATTTGTCCTAATTTATCTCTAGGCACCACTTTTTACATCTTGGGGATGAAGAAAGTGATGACATATCACATTGTTATTCCATAATCACAAGTGGTACATTGGTGTGATTAAAAAATAATTACACTGTGATTTTTATTACACATTTAGAAACACAATTTAGAAAATAATACCTATTTCTTTTTTCTTTGTAATTATTTTGAATTAATTAATTTAAAATTTAGTTTATTAAATTATTAAATATGTTTCAATAAAGATATTATTAAGTCCGAACTTACATTTTTCAATGTCTACTATTTAAATATGTATTTTCACAGACGTATTGTACAATCATCATATCATCATCATATCTGTCACGCCTGTCTCCCATTAGGGTAGGCAGAAACAATGGAACGCCAAATGCTTCGATTCAAACAAACCTCTTTCGCTTCTTCCACATTCATCATTCTTGTCATACACGCTCGTCGGTTACGGGTACTTTTAATTTACAAATATAAATAATTTAATTACAAATATAAATAATTTAATTACAAATATAAATAATAATTTAATTGTACAAATATAAATAAAAACGGCATCTGAATATTTAATGAAAATTTATGTAAGCGAGCATAATAAAACTCAAGCTCTCAATAAAATTTGAAGAAATTTAATGCTCTAGGGAAGTTGCAAGTTTCTTTGAACAACAAAACACGGTTTTTCATACTCATATTTTACATTTAAACTCAGAGAAGATTTCAAGTTTAATGTGGAGGGAAAATATATTTTGCGAACTTTTAATAAGTAACTTTTTCCTTCATGGAATGGTCTATCTCGTGATGTGTTCGTTTCGTCCGTCGATATATAAGCTCGGATTCTTCAAAAGTAACGTGAAAAAGCACTTAGTGAGCGGCCATCTGGGGGGAAAGCGATTGTTAGCAATGGAGTTTGACAGCCCATTGCTAGCAATACATCCTATTAGATTAACGTGTTTCCCTCCACATGGTTCCCCCTGGAAACCATCGTGAACAATTCTTGTTGAACTCGTCACGATGGGGTAACTGACCTGATTTCATCGTCACCAATCATCTCTCACTGGTGTCCCGCCAGTGTATATCGATAGCACGGGCGGGGCTACAATGGTAACCCATTACCACAATTGAATGCAATTATCACTTATTAAAAAAAAAGTTCGGTCATCTGTTGAGACTGGAACATTCTCTTATCGGTTGATCGTATTCATGCAGCATGTTATCTATGTGTTTACTCAGGATAATATTGTCACCTGTCGTGTTATAATAAAAAAAAATGACATTAAATTTGATAGAATTAACATAAATGTAACATGACAATACTAAACCTTTCTAATTTTTTTATACCACTGAGGTGGCAAACAAGCATACGGCCCACCTGATGGTAAGCGGTTATCGTAGCCTATGAACGCCTGCAATACCAGATGTATTATGTGCGCGTTGCCGACCCTGAAGAAACCTCTTTACCGCCCTTTTGAAGAACCCCATGCTGTAGTCTCTTGGGAAAGCCTCGGTATAACCTCATTCCATAACCTGAGTGTTCGTGGGAGAAAACATCTCTGAAACCGCGTTGTACGCGACCATTTAGGTTATATGTTACATGTTACATTTTCATTATCATCATATGATGATCATGATGAACATTTCTCATTTCAAAAATCACCCGTTTGGTCGACATACATTCGCCCGGGGCCGCCCCAACCGATATCTTCACACTTTTGTAAGTAATTCTGTTATCCATTATTAATTTAATCACCATTCCATGGATACTTTCATTCATTCAATACAATTTTATTTTTGTAAAACGATTAAACTTTTGGTGTATCAGTAAAATTGGAATTTCTGAACGAATAAGTAAAGCTTGAATAAGAAAAATAATATTGGGAGTATTCTCGGGCTAACCGGATTAGAGCGATTCATCTTCGGACCATTTTGTGTAAGTTGTTGAATAAGCTGATTTTAAAAATTGTACGGATTATTCAAATAAAATAAATTCATAAAATTCATAAAAGAAAACGTGTAAATGCTATTACGTTTTTACATTGAACTAATTTGAGCCCGCTACTTCGTATGCATAGATTTTAGAAATAGGAAAAACAAAGAAATAGATCATTCTAGATCAGGTATTGAGATAAAATATACATTCGGTTTTAAGTTAGGAAACCGTATCCAATTGTATGCCGTCAAAACATATTATACCAGAGAGAAACTTTGTATAAAAGTCGTTGGCTTGGGCACCTCTGTCCCTGAATTAATGAAGAATGGCAAACAAGCTGACGGATCACCTGATGGAAAGTGGTAACCGTCGCCTATAGACATGAGCAATACCATGGACATAACAGAGTATACTGTTTCGCCCATGATACCCCTCATGGGTTGCCATTCCTGAGGACTCAGATGTTATTCCTCTGTACCCTGTAAACCCACGCCGTATCCCACCCTTCAAACCGAAACACAGCCATGCAAACACAACTGCTTTACGGTTGAAACACGAATAGGACAGAGGTACCCAAGCAAACGACTTTTGTACAAAGTCTCCCTCTGGTAAGTATAAGCTTAATTAAACTCAAAGAGATTGCATTTATGCTAACATCTTTAACACGCATCATCGGCAAATTAATCGATTACTCTAATAGCATAAAGGTGAACGTTCGACCTCCAGACTAGAGCTGATAGATCTTCTAAACTCCTCAGATTGAAAGCCTTAGCTTTTCTACATAATCGTATCAGTAACAAATTATAAAATAAACATTTCACTTTGAATATAAAATTGCATATTATTTCTAGAGAATCAATTTTCTTTCTCAATTTTGTTATTTGAGAATACTTTGCTTTGGTCGTGACCAGAGGGCCTACCATGAAGTATTTTCCGAAATTTCGGGGACGAACGAAACAGAAATTTGATGTTAAAATTACATAATACATGCTGTTTAAAATTATTAAAAAGGTTAAAATATCGTTTCTTTGGACTATTAGAATAGGATGTATGATGAACGAAATGTTAAGCTCCATTTACTGGGTCGATTTTGACACGAACAAAAACACGAAATTAAGCCCGAAATTTCGAAATTTTATTTCATGGTAGACTGACTGTACCCGAAGTTCTTGAGCGAGTTGTTTATGACATATAGAGGGCGCCTGTTGACGCATCAAAAAAAAAAATTTTCTAAAGACAAATAAGAAATATTCATCACTCATCATCGAATTTTATTGAAATTGTTATTATCTGTTTTTGTATACCACTGAGGTTGCAAACAAGTATATGGTCCGTCTGATAGTAAACGTTTACCGTAACCTATGAACGCTTGAAATACTAAGGACATTATACGCGTGCTGCCAACCCTGAAGAAACTTCTTTATACATTTTTTTTTATGAAACCCGTACTGTAGTGTCTCGAAAAAATTCGACAGAGAGTTTATTCTATATCCTTAGCGTTTGTGAGAGAAAACATCTTTGAAATTACGCTGTACGTGACCATTCAGGTTTTAAGTATGGGGCTAAATTCCCTGTCGATGACGAGCTGTACAATGATAGAAAGTGACCAAGGGCATCATATTAAACAATTCCTCTGAGCATAGCCCGTTATATAAGCGGTAGAACACGCATAGTGAGGCAAAACTTCTCCTAAATCTTAAGGGTTTGATACCGTTTGTAAGCCTGGGATCATCGACAATTTTTATAGCTCGTCGTTGCACTGAGTCGAAAGGTTCATGCTGGTATCTAGGTGCTCCCGTTCATAAGTGACAGCAATACCAACTGGAAATGGATTTGCGGTTTAAAGAGCAATAGTCGTTGATCCACCATTTTAATGCTTTGCTCTTTGCGTCGAGTTTCTTGGATGCCAGTTTTATCTTATCTTCGAAATGATCACAGAACTGCACGTCACTAGAGATGTCGACACTAAGGATCACAATACACTTAAGGATATTAAGGTACATGCCCTGGAATTGTGGAGCCACAGCAAATTGGATTTTTTAGCGTTGAACGCGCAAGCTTGTGTCTTTTCGGGGTTAAATTGGACGTTTTGTCATCCCAATCAGAGACCTCAGTTGGCTAAGTACAAACTTTAAATTTAAGTTGGTATATAGATACCTACTAATTGTTTGTAACTTGATAAATTGTGTAATAGAACAGGTGTAATATCCTTTTAGAATTAGAATGATTATATGCAAATTGGAGTTGGCGTATTCTACTCGTAAGCGACTGACTTAATGCTCTAAGTCAGGAGCAAATAGCGATTTTATATACACTGATTTTCAGACAATTCGGATGAAAGAAAGCGGTAATCGCCGCCTATAGACATGAATTGAGAAGAAATCGAAATTATGTTGATTAATCGACATATAACGTCTTTTTCACGTTTATTCAGTGCGATTTCGAATTACCCGCAATTCGATTCAATGTCACTCACACAGTAACAGAACCAAAGGTTTCGATTCTAAGAACAAAATAAGTAAAAAGGTAAATATAGCAATTGCCATATGTAATATTAATCTGTAGTCGTATTATCCTTAATCAATTTATATAATGTACATATATAAGTTATGATCTGCCATTGTGTCAATTAGCGTGCGTGTATGGAAAAATAAAAATTTGTTTATCACTGGGTCTAGTTTTATTAAGGGAGACTTTGTACAAAAGTCGATTGCTTGGGTACCTCTGTCCCATTCGTGTTTCAACCGTGAAGTAGTTGTGTTTGCATTACTGTGTTTCGGTTTGAAGGGTGGGATATGGCGTGAATTTACTGGGTACAGAGGAATAACATATGAGTCCTCAGGAATGGACATAACAGTATACTCTGTTATATCCATGGTACTGCTCATGTCTATAGGCGACGGTTATCACTTTCTATCAGGTGGTCCGTCAGCTTGTTTCTAAGTTATTTAAAAAAAAAGCTATACTATACTTTTGATTGTTTGATTTTTTTAATAAAAAATACCTGTATTTGTTACTATTATAATCTACTATCTGTATACCGTGAATTTGCTCGCGTAAATTTACGTTTAAAGTATTATATCTTACCTGTGTCAAATTATATTCAAATCCGCCTCGTCGTTTAACATAATCGTCGGTAAATATCCAAGCAAACATCTTTACAAACACATTTTTAACATTACTATAATTCTACTATAATAATTGTCTCTGAAAGTATTCCAGTAAATTACATAAGTCTTATAAGGCGTTTAAATTTTTGGTAATTCTCCTATAACTTATACCACGCACACGTTATAAGCATGGAGTCCCAAATTGCGCCGGCCGGT